TTTTGTAAATTTCCTACCATAAATATATAAAACATTTATTTGTGTGGGTGGATGCCTATAGCCGTCCCTTGCTTCTGTCTCTCCAGAGTTTCCCAGCATTCCGTCTTTGTTTTGCAGATATTATCCAATCAGGGCTCTCTATCAGGGACAGAGAGAGAAGTGATACGTCTTTCTGCTGCGTATAAGCTTCCACTAGTCTTTGAACATTTATACCTATCTATAAATTACAGCAGAGGCGTATAAGCTTTTGAAACGTGTGGGGGATGGATGTGTCATTTAAATTTGGGCATGTTACGTAGACCCCTGTCCCTCTAGGGGGGTTCGGGGGCATATCCCCCGCAAGAAAATTTGGTACATTTTAAGGTTAAATGCATCAATCTGGAGCACATTGAGAGTTCAAAATTAAGAGCTTCAACTGGATTCGACCCAGGCCTGTGCACATTGAACAACGAAAAAGCATTGACTTGTAGCTTACCTAAAGATGGCTCAAACATATAGTTATGATATAGAGTCTCAGTCATTATATTCTATATTACGCTATCAAAATTACAATACTTTTGTCCTAATTTCTTCACTTGTAAGAAATAAACAACGCCCTTGAGCTTTAGGAGACATTTAGGAGAAAACACAGAACACTATGCTCATCGTGTGAGCAAAGAGCGCGTTTTTGTTTTTTTTTTTCAAATCACGCAGCATTACAAACAGAATGCCTAACGCAAGTCTTGTACTGTTTTACAGGAACGTCTGTCTGTCTGTCCAGCCCATTCTCATCCTTTAGTGTCACATAGAACGCTATATGACAAAACGGCGCTATACTACGCAAATGGCACCCTTTATTGTTAATATTCACGCGAACCCAAGGCGTCATAAATCCTTTAGCGTAATATGAGACTACCCTACCCTACCCCACACCTAAACCTAACCATCACAGCGTGTGTTATATTAACGATAACGGGTGCCATGTGCATAGTATAGCGCCGTTTTGTCATATATGGCGTTCTATATGACGCTAAAGGATGAGAATGCGTTGGTCTGTCTGTCTGTCTGTCAATAGCATATTTCTCGAACCATTAGTTCGATGGATTTCAAACTTGACAGGTATCTTGCTGTGGGCACGGGTAAGTGCAGTGCCAAGTTTGACGTTGTTTGGATTAGAAATACGAAAGATATCAGTAAATATATCGGTAAAAGAAGCACACATTGGCTTTTGCCGCTGTAGCCGCTGGTCACTCTGGCTCACACTGCTAATATTTTATTCGTGGCCATCATTTGTAGTAGCCTATTCACAAACTGTTTGCTCAAGTGTAGCGTTTTCGCTGAGTTCACTGTATAGCTGCTCCCTGCATTGTCACGCTTATTCATTTATGGATGTTACCTGAATCTGTAAGTCAGCTACACTGTTAACTTCTTAATATTATATTTTATTGTGGTGTGGTTAACGTTATCTTTTTCTCCGAGTTTAGGCTCCTGTGTAGTAGTAGCCTAGGCTATTCAGTAACTCAAACATACCAAACAAACAATTACTAAAAACAGATTTTGCACGGGCATTGTAGTAGTTTCATAAGTTCATAAGTTCATGCAATTTAATGCGAATCGAATGTATTGACCTGCACATATTCATTCTTCACCGAGTGAGCCGCAGAAACTGTGAGAGAAGGGAATCGGCTCCTTATGATGACCTGAACGGTCTACGCTTCAGACACACCACGGTTATGTGAGTTACCTAATGTTTACTGACATTTTACAGAGACATCGTGGAAAATTAAAATAAAGTATGTCATGACCCCTTTTATTTATTCATACCACCAAATAAACAGTGTTATTGATATACATAGCATTATGGTGTCTTGCAATCCTGACTGAAAACACTTTGCCTAAGGAGAACCTTCATCCAAAAACATAAAAAGTTTGGTCAATATGAATCCTATAAGAGGAGCATTTAAAAGTTTTGTGATTTTCATTTTTCCTGTTGGGTAGAATGCCATGTATATGTACAATATGTATAATATACCAAGTTTTTAGCACATTTGTTTTATGCATATATTAATTGTTATCCCCATGTTTTGCCTATACCTAATGGCTGATGACTAAGACTTTACGACCAAATTTCATGAGTTTTTAAGCAAAATCTAAAGCAGTTGTTCTGCATCTGTGTTGACTTAAAAGACGAAACATGCTTGAAATAAGCTAGAACAACCAAAAATCTAAATATTTCTTATTATTTGGTTATTTTTATAAAGAAGATACATCTTTCTGCCGCCAAGCTATGAAATATTTTATCAGTGGAAACTGTAAGTGAGGGGGCCTTCAAATATTGTTGTGGACAATAAGTGCTTGAAGTCTAAAATAATCATTAAAAAGTTTAAATAAGATGCTTTTAAAAAAATGCTTTTCAAGTCACTTTTACAGTGCTTTACGATACAGATTGTTTCAAAGCAGCTTTTCACTGTGAAAAAAATCATCAAATATTAGACAAACTCAAATTCAGCAGCTCTACAGAAGACAATAGCATCATTATTCAGATCAAGTCAATTCAGTTGTGTTGAGTTACACTTTCGAATTCGATGGTCCACTTTAGACATTCTACTGACTATAAGTACAGGGGTTGGACAAAAAAACTGAAACACCTGGTTTTACTACACAATAATTTGTTAGAATGGTGAGGGCCTCATTTTGCATCCAAATACAGCACCAATTGACAGATAGAAGTCCTTCACAGTGACCAGAGGGATTATGAGCCGTTCCTCTTCCAGAACAGTGTCCAGGTCACTATATGATGCTGGTGGACTCGCTCCTCCAAAACACCTCAATAATATTCAGATCTGGTGACTGTCAGACCATGGGAGATGTTCAACGTCACTTTCATCTTCATCAAACCCTTCTGTCACAAGTCTTGCTGTGTGTGTTGGTGCATGATCATGCTGATACACGGTTTGAGCATCAGGTGCTCATGATCCTCCAGAAGGGTTTGGTAGTCCTCGGCAGTGTCGTGTCCATCAAATACAATCAGGGTTGTCATGATATTGGAGCTCAAACCATCACTGATCCACCCGTGCTTCACTCTGAAGATTGGCCGCCAGGCATATAGATGTGAAACCTCCAACATTGGCCAGTGTTTCAGTTTCATTGTCCAACCCCTGTAACTTGTCAACAGTATTAGTAGACTGTCAGGTTATGTGTTAGTAGAATAAGTTGACATGTGGAAAATGTACTTAAAGTTACTGCAATGTCTAAAGTGGACCATAAGAGACGATATTGCAAAATTCGTGAATTATGAAACAAATCCGATTCGCTGTAAAGCAGCTCTACAAAGACAGTAGTGTCATCATCAATTTAGCTTGTGTATAAAATTTGACATAATCATATTTCCATTGGAGATTTCAAACATTAAAATGATAACAGACTGAAAACCGAGATGCATGTGGGTCTGATAAGATCAACGTAGATCAGTTTATGAAAATAAAGGACTGCTAACCACAGCAACAGATGTGGTTGCTAAGAAGTTGATCTCAGCATTGTGCCGCCCTCTGCTGAGAACAGATGAAACTTCACAAAACAAGTTTGATTTCTTCAAATCTCACCGCATTCTCTACAAATATACTACAGGCACAAGATGTAAAAGAAAAACCTCGACCTCAAGCGCGTGTCCAGAATCCCAAATCAATGGCGGCCACCGTTTCCATTGTCCCCACAGTCATATGCTGTGCCTGAATTTTTTTTTAAATATAATGCAGTGAGTTTTGAAGAAATTACTCCACTGCAAATTTCACAGCACAAATAATTTCACTGCAAGAGCACCAAGCTTCAAGCCTTATTTTAAAATGCAATTCTGAAGCTTAAAATCCGACTCAGGGTTTAAATGTCAGTCAGTTGTGAAACTCTCAGATGGTTGTTCTTGAAGCTGTGTGGCATTTCTCTCTGTCGCTGGAATCAAACAATCCTCTGTGTTGGCATTTGCAACATAAGATGTATGATTTTAGCATTTATTATGTTTATTAAGACGATCACAGTTTTATATACGGTAACCGCGGACTGAAAGGCAAACGGGTGGAACTCAGAACACCCACAACTAAAGTAAACAAGTAAATGTAAATTTGTACAGTTGTCATCACACCTGGGTTCAGCTCAATGATCCGCATAACACATCTGCTCTCACATACAGTGACAGATTCATATACAGACACTTCATGTTTCATGCTAAATTTTACAGGTTTTAATTGTTTGGGCAACAGTTGTGGCTTGCATTTTCCATAGTTATTTATTAAATCGCTAGCATTTTATTTTACTGTGCATGCACTTACTGTACGTGTACCTAAGAAAATACTGGGTAAAATAAGGTTTGCATGAGTTATGGTTAGGGACAGGGTTAGTACCTAGTTATTACACAATTATTGCAACTACTATAATAAGTACATATAGGAACATGGCTGTAATATAAAGTGCTACCATTTAATCATTATTAATTGTTAAGCAAAACTTTGCTTATTTGTTATCAATTAACTCAATGGATGTGTAGCCTACATAGAAGTTGGTCAATTCTGATGAATACATAAGTACAATGTAGAAACGTGTGTTCACAATCAAATTATTGATTTCAATGTAAAACATAGAAGACACCATGTGATTTGATTTTGAAATTATGTTTTGGTTGCACTTTATGTTTCAGTGCATTACATTGAACTTAAGAAAGAACTGGGTAATAAGGTAACACATGGGTTAAGGTTAGGTTCAGCGTTAGTACGTAGTTATTACACAATTACTGTAATTAGTATAATAAGTACATGGGGAAAAGGACTGTACAAACTGTACAATGTGATGTTTGTTCAATGCAAACTGTTGGAAAATTAAAAAAATGAGCAAGGCTCATGGCTGCCCCTGGACTAAATATCTATGTTTTTTCATTCTGAGAGAGAGGAGGAAGTTAAAGATAGGAGGACAAAAAAAAAAAAAAAAACATATAGCGAAGGAAGTAGGCAGAAGTTTCTCAAAATGAGGAAGTCTACAAATAGTTCCATTTACTTACTGAAGTAAAAAGGTTTGTGTCAGTTCAATAACAGCAACACAAATGTGAAAAAGCAATGTGTTTCAGCACATCAGTGTAGGCTCACAGTTTCTCACAGAAGTAAGTGCTCCTGATCCGACTGCTTCTTTTGAACTATCCACTGAGTTTGGGTCCCACCACATCCTGTTCAGTTAGACAGCCATTTGAACATGCTATGTAGTCCTTGTCCAAAGTGAGTTCAACAGACTTTGTGAGGTAAGATTGTCTAATTCTCTACATGTATATTTTAAGTGTGTGTCAGATTTTGTGCTCAAGTATGGCAAAGTGAATTAAGTTGGCTAAATTATTGATGTGAGACAAAAAATACTTTTAATGACATTTTTACATGATTTCTCTTTGGATATTTCATATGCAGTGTTGTATTATACAACTGTAAATGATCATTGTATACATAAATATTATAATTTTCTAACAGCTTCATTTATTTTTGTTGCAATGAAAATAAAAGGGACAAAAAATATTTTAAATGATCTGTGTAATATCTGCGACTGCACTTTGTTGTGGCAATAGCTGATCTGGTATTATTACTTTGAAGTAAATTCAAAAGCAAAGCTATTCAGAAATATCAGATGTTTCTCTAAAGATGGGCTCAATTGTTTTAAAGAAGGGAATTATTTGTTTAAAATCATTTATTAAGTTACAAACGTATTTCATGCATGTGTTAAAAGTTCATTTGTTAATGATTACTTCCAAAAATTTGGCAAAAACAAAAAAATGATACACTATAAGGTCCAAACGTTTCAATGGGAGACTACAATGCAAATGTTGCTATTTAAATTTATTTCCAACCTGGAAATAATTAGAAATAGTTGTAAACTTGTACATCAAAGATATTATAAAAAAAACTTATAACAAATACTAAGAAATGAAGATTTTTTTAACACTTCACTTTTAATGTTACCAAATACTAATTTATGATGAAAGAATTGTATCATATAAAACGGTTTTAAAAAATGTCAGGAATCCTTTCATACATATATTATAGTCCACAGCTCTTCTATAGAAAAAAAAGCAAGACATTTATAAAATCCTTAATATAGGACACACTACTATTATGATATAATTATATATTATAACATTGTATGATATCTAACGCCTTAAAACCTATAAAATCCCCAAATGACATCATTTAAACTCACATCTGACCAGTGGCTATTAATGCCTTATCACTGCTTTGTTGCTTTTATGGATTTCTGCTTTTCTCAGAAAGCTGAAACAAATTTTCCATTACAAACATTAGCCTACATTTTGCATTTTGGTTGCAATAACCTGGCCATGTCTAGTTTCTTCTTTATGGAATATTTTGTGGTTGAATTTGATGCATCGACTCGCCTCACTTCACTTTCATGCATTAGCACGAGACCCTGAGGTTTTGCATTGGCGCTTGTGTTCGAGGTTGAAGTAAAAGAGCTAGAGGATGCATTTTCTGTTTGCTTAATTTTGTACTTCAGGCACATTAATTGTGCACTATAATGGGAAAATTATAAGAAGAACAAACAAAGCTTAGTGAATATAAATGTGGCACAATGTAAAGCTGATATAGTCATTCATTTTTATGAAATGAATGAATAATACAAATTATTTTATTTCTATTCTGTTCTATATAATGCAGGATATAGAATAGGATATGCAAGATTGAACTTTGGTTATATTGCTGAGATAAATTGTTAGTAATGAGTTAGCATGGTCATGATTACATATTTATTATTATGATGCCACATGATTTTCAAAGTGTTTTTCCTTTGAGGTAAATCACACATGAGCATTTGGAAATTTCTCTCTTGATCTTGAGCTCTGTCATTTCCATGTAAAGTGTTCAATTGCGAGAACTTGACTCGTGTAGTTGCAGTATAGTCATCTTCAAGCCCCCTTGAACACATCATGGCAATGGGCTTAAGTTATAGTAGAGTTTAAATGTTATTGCAAAAGACTTGACCGCTTCCTCTTTCTGCGTGAACTAGTTTCTCAGAGGCGCATGTCGTTCATCTTTTTACTTCTTACACAAGTTAGAGTTTCAAATATACTACACACATACACACTTTGTGTCATTTACTTTGAAATTGTTGGCTAAAAAGGGAGGGAATTAAATAAAATACACGGTCAGTCAAAGGTTTGGAAAGAATCTCAAAACCTTTTTGATCTTAAATTCTTTAAATTAATTTTGTATATGTATAAATATATATATAAAATGTGGCTATGTATACATTTAAAAATATATTTTTAATGATTTGGACATGGTGGTGAAGGTGTAACAACCATAGATGCGAACTCCTGTTTGACAGACTGTAATGGTCCGTTTAATTGTATCTTTAAATGTTTCTCACTTCCATTTTTGTGTTATTTCATTGTAGAAAATCTATTTCTCTATTGTAGAAAATGTGGGAAACATTAATAACAGATATTCTCATCAAGTCATTTGAGCTTTTTTTATTCTCTTTAACTCTAATTGTTATGATAAATTTTAAAATTTTAACTCATATGCATTTGCAAAAAAAATGGACTTGAAGTAATCCATTGTCTCGACTATTTGAGACTTGAAACAAAGGTTATACTCATATTTAATTGAGTTTCTCCACCTGGAAATGTTATACAGATTATGCCAATTCCTTGTTCTTGAATGTAAAAATACTTGTAGTGAAAATACATAAAGAAACAAGGAAATAAACAAAATTCATATTGATATTTCTAAATTTACAATACATTAAGTGATCATATCACAATCACAAACTGATAAGAAACACATTATCCTGTATAAGGTGGGCATTATCGTTACAGGGTTCAATGTATTTAAATGTGTAGTACTCGTGTGCGTGTGCGTGTGTGTGTGTGTGTGTGTGTGTGTGTGTGTGTGTGTGTGTGTGATTGAAGCCTCAGTAATTTTTCACAAAAAATATGGGTAACATTTTACTTTACAGCGTCCTTGTTACATATGTCACATATACTTACCATAGAAATTACTGTAAATTATGCATAATTACATCCAACTAACCCTCAACCAAACCCTAATCCTACCCTAACCCTATAGTAAGTACATGTAGTTGCTTAATATTACTCAATACGATATACTATACTACTATATATATATATATATATATACACTCACCGGCCACTTTATTAGGTACCCCATGCTAGTAACGGGTTGGACCCCCTTTTGCCTTCAGAACTGCCTCAATTCTTCGTGGCATAGATTCAACAAGGTGCTGGAAGCATTCCTCAGGGAGTTTGGTCCATATTGACATGATGGCATCACACAGTTGCCGCAGATTTGTCGGCTGCACATCCATGATGCGAATCTCCCGTTCCACCACATCCCAAAGATGCTCTATTGGATTGAGATCTGGTGACTGTGGAGGCCATTTGAGTACAGCGAACTCATTGTCATGTTCAAGAAACCAGTTTGAGATGATTCCAGCTTTATGACATGGCGCATTATCCTGCTGAAAGTAGCCATCAGAAGTTGGGTACATTGTGGTCATAAAGGGATGGACATGGTCAGTAACAATACTCAGGTAGGCTGTGGCGTTGCAACGATGCTCAATTGGTACCAAGGGGCCCAAAGAGTGCCAAGAAAATATTCCCCACACCATGACACCACCACCACCAGCCTGAACCGTTGATACAAGGCAGGATGGATCCATGCTTTCATGTTGTAGACGCCAAATTCTGACCCTACCATCCGAATGTCGCAGCAGAAATCGAGACTCATCAGACCAGGCAACGTTTTTCCAATCTTCTATTGTCCAATTTCGATGAGCTTGTGCAAATTGTTGCCTCAGTTTCCTGTTCTTAGCTGAAAGGAGTGGCACCCGGTGTGGTCTTCTACTGCTGTAGCCCATCTGCCTCAAAGTTCGACGTACTGTGCATTCAGAGATGCTCTTCTGCCCACCTTGGTTGTAACGGGTGGTTATTTGAGTCACTGTTGCCCTTCTATCAGCTCGAACCAGTCTGGCCATTCTCCTCTGACCTCTGGCATCAACAAGGAATTTCCGCCCACAGAACTGCCGCTCACTGGATGTTTTTTCTTTTTCGGACCATTCTCTGTAAACCCTAGAGATGGTTGTGAGTGAAAATCCCAGTAGATTAGCAGTTTCTGAAATACTCAGACCAGCCCTTCTGGCACCAACAATCATGCCACGTTCAAAGTCACTCAAATCACCTTTCTTCCCCATACTGATGCTGGGTTTGAACTGCAGGAGATTGTCTTGACCATGTCTACATGCCTAAATGCACTGAGTTGCCGCCATGTGATTGGCTGCTTAGAAATTAAGTGTTAACGAGCAGTTGGACAGGTGTACCTAATAAAGTGGCCGATGAGTGTATATATATATGTGTGTGTGTGTGTGTGTGTGTGTGTGTGTGTGTTTATGTAAGGGCTAATGTAGAGCGAGGCGGTTGTTATGTTGAACACAACCCCAATGGGCTGATCAGGACCGACTCGATGCAGATTCTTGAATCAGCCTGAAGGAGCTGAAGCAACGATGTGTTATACTTAGCAGCGTCTGTTATCAAGAAATAACAGACTGCATTCTACATTAGAATCCAACCAAGCCACATATGAAATATATATCTTTATAAAACCTTAAAATAAAGTGTAACCAAAATATTGTCCTCAGACACTCTGGGTTGTTTTAACCAACTTTGGTTCAAATATGGACAAACCCAACCGTTGGGTTAAAATTGTAAATAACGTTTCAACCCAACATTTGTGTTTGTCCATATTTTACCAAGAATTGGGTTAAAACAACCCAGCATTTTTAGCCAACAAAAGGGTAGCCAACTTTTGACATTGAGTGGAGCCAACAGATTTTACAGTTTTTTTTTCGATTGCTAAACGGCAGTGAGCACGACTGGAGCTAAATGTGCAAAACTCTAACTACAGTCTGCATTACCAACAGTCACCTGAGCACAACTCTTAACACACGACTCAAAACAGGCTCAGTGTGCACAACACTATGCACAACCCTCACTGAGATAACACACACTGTCACTCAGAACTAACACAGTCTCATCCCAAAAAGTCATATAACTGACGTCTTGGGACGTTTTTTGACCGTACGTCAATATCCGCCTTTTTAGGGCCCCCTTAAATGTCGGTAGATGGCGATCCCGGGCCGTCATACAACTGACGCTTTACCTTTAACGTCAGTTAGGTGACGGGTTAGGTTTAGGGTTAAGTTTAGGTCTGGGGTAGAGTTAGGATCCCATAACCTCATCTACCGACGTTTAAGGGGGCCCTAAAAAGGCGAATATTGACGTATGGTCAAAAGACGTCCCAAAACGTCAGTTATATGACGTCTTGGGATGAGACCGGGTTGTCAGAACACACTGAGAGGAAAACATTAGCATCAAACACCAATGCAGAAAATCCAAACTTTTCATCTTTGCAGTTTCAACAATTTCACACTTCATACAAAGTAATATTTTCTTCAAAGAAAACAGTGACATTCTTTCATTTGATATTTTTAATTTTTTAGAACATAACAATTGAAAATTAGCAGTTTGCTTCAATAGTCTGTAGTAATTTTCAGAATTACGGTAATTAGAAAAAAAGGTAGAAACTAAAAGTACATACTGTAATACTGTAACCCTGCCTTTCTCAAGCATTAGGCCACAAGTTTTCATCCTTTCAGCTGAAATTGTTTGAAAGTCAGCAGTGTGTGAAAGGCACAAGGCTGAAATTTATTCTGTTTTGAATGAGTGGTTCACAGTTTTGACAGCAGTGTGTTAGCATTTGAACAAAGTGCTGTAAATCCACAGTGTTGTGCAGGTTGTGGTTAAAGTCATGGGATAAGTGTGTAGAGTTTTGAAAACTGTGTTCAAGCAATGAAAAACAATCTAGAGTTTGGTCTACATGAACTGCTGCTGTGTAGACTGGAGTTAGAGTTTTGCACATGTAGCTCCAGTTGTGCTCCACTGTGGTTTAGCAATAGAAAAAAACGGTAATATTAAGGCTATACGTATTCTTTACAATAGTATTTTATTGAAGGAAAAGTTCTCCCCAAAATGAAAACTCAGTAAATACTCTCCCTCACGTTGTTCATCGTTCATCTTTTCATCGGAGTGGGACCAAAAAATCTACCGGGAAATTTCGTAGACCACCGGCCCTCGTCGCCGGCACGATTTTAATAGCCGATAGGATTTACAGTTTTATTGATTTAAAAGGAACTTTGTTGTACTAGTATGCTGGAGTAAAGTTCATAAATGGGTGTTCTTTCCCATAGTAATTTCTAAAACTATGTTGGGTGGACTCTGTGCCTCTAGGGGGGTTCGGGGGCATGGTCCCCCGCAAGAAAATTTTGGACAGAAATTTTTTTTTCTGCATTTTAAGGTTAAATGCAGCAATCTCATGCTCTCTGAGAGATCACAATTAAGAGCTTCAACCCATGAACTGCTCGTTGAATAAAGAAAAAGTATTAATTTGTACCAGGACAATACTGCCCTACAAAGGCAAAGTGCAGAGAAAAAGGCCTTTAAAGTTGTTATGCCAGCCAGTCAAACATTTTATGGATAGATTATGTGGTAATGCATCTCCGAAACGGGACATAATTTAACCCAGATATTTTTTCACAAGACAGAACACATGTCATAAAGCCCATTACAAGTCTTAACTCATTTTCGACCAAATGTGTTACTGCGCTTTGCCTTTGTAGGGCAGAATAAAGAGGGCTCAAACATATGTTTAGTTATGAGAGTCTCAGTCTGCATTACATTACCAATGGTGTTTTAGGATGCCAAACAATTATTATAATAATGTAATAATGATTTATAATTATTCCTATGACGTACTGTAAAATCCATTTAGCCTATAAATGTACTATGTAAATGAGTATTTCAAAAGTATGTTTTAACCTACATTACACTATAATATAGGAAAATTAAAATACTTTTGTCCTAATTTCTTCACTTGCAAGAAATGAACCCTTGAGCTTTTATTTAGGAGAAAACACCAGACCATGATGATCGCGTGAGCAAACTAATCATGCAGCACAAACAGGATGCTATTCTTATGTCAGTTATTATAATGGCGCAACGCCATATCATGGTTTCAATTTTAGTTCGTTGGCAAAATATAACGCTAGAGATCTTAATTTTAGGTTTTACATGCATCTTTACATATGTGTTGGGAAAAGGGAGAAGAGAGAGTTCGGCAAAAGACGGATTTGAACTCGCGTTCAGCGCATCTAAAGCTGCTTTCAAGCACTTCGCGCCCTACGACCTACGCCACTGAAGCTGTTTCAAGACGGGCGTCTTTTTGCTGTAAAGACAGGCACTTAGTGCAAATATATGCTCCGTTATAGAGAGAAAATGTTAAAAAAAAAATGTTTTCTTACCTTAGCTTGGGCCCCAAGTGCACATGGCGAACTTCCAATAAATACATTTTATCAGACCGGCCCTCGCGGCCTCGAAACACTACCGGCCCACCGGGAAAACTCCCGACTCTCCCGATTGCCACTCCGCTACTGGCTGTGATGGTTAGGTTTAGGTGTGGGGTAGGGTTGGGTTGGGTAGTCTCATATTACGCTAAAGGATTTATGACGCCTTGGGTTCGCGTGTTATATTAACGAAAAGGGTGCCATGTGCGTAGTATAGCGCCGTTTTGTCTTAGCATTCTATGTGACGCTAAAGGATGAGAACGGGCACTGTGCAGCGCTTCTGAGTTGTACTGTATGTCACACGCATCACACACATAACCAGCTTCGGACAATAGTTATTGGGGTTTTTTTGCACACAAAAAGTATTCTCGTCGCTTGATAAACTCAAGATTGAGCCACGGTAGTCACTTTGACTATTTTAAAGATGTCTTTAACTTTTCTGGGCCTGCCAGTTTCGATCCCTTAGAAGCCCATTAAGGAGTGAGACAGCTCTCAGTTTTCATCAAAAATATCTTCATTTGTGTTCTGAAGATGAACGAAAGTCTTACGGGGTTGGAACAAGGGAGAGGGAGAGAAATTACTCACAGAGTTTTCATTTTGGGGTGAAATTGCATCCATAAGGCTGGGATTATCGTCACAGGGTTTAATCTAGATTGTAGCCTGTTTAAATGTGTACAGTGGGTGTGTGTGTGATTGAAGCCTCAATGATTTTTCACAAAAAAAAATAATGATCTACAATCTACACATTGTCCTTTCGCAGGTCATTAGCGATCCTAGGCTTTCGCAGTCATGGTGGACAAGGTGCAGGCACTGCCGTACTTCTTCGGCAACATCACGCGCGAGGAGGCGGAGGAGTACCTGCGCCAGGGCGGCGCGGGCGACGGGCTGTTCCTGCTCCGCCAGAGCCGCAGCTTCCTCGGCGGGTACGCGCTCTCCGTGTCCTACGGCCGCCAGCTCTACCACTACACCATCGAGAGGGAGCTCAACGACATGTACGCCATCGCCGGGGGCAAGTCACACAGAACCCCGATAGATGTGATCGACTACCACTCGCAGGAGTCTGACGGGCTCGTGTGTCTGCTGAAGAAGCCCTTCAACCGGCCACGGGGCACTGAGCCTAAAGTGGGTCCCTTTGAAGACCTCAAAGAGCAGCTCATCCGCCAGTATGTCAAACAAACTTGGAATTTACAGGTTGGTATTACGTAGTTTCAAGTATAACCACATAATGATAACTTTATTATCGTCCACACCAGCGGATGATATTGTTGTTTAATTTAAGCGCGCTCTCAAGTTTTGTTGTCTGTCACTTTAATGTTTGAGTTCTTTACAGCGGAGTGGATTCTGATTGGCTGTCAGTGTTTTTATTGTTCATCAGCTGGGGAAAAACGCTCTGAAAGTGATTCCAGCGACGATATCGTTTCACCGTGCCGTTATAGTTGTTGTGTCAACTCAAGTCTGCTATTATTTTATATTTAGAACGATTTTTAGAACTATATCCGTTTTCAATAAAGGGGTGGTATAACGCCACTTTTTACGTATGCAATAAAATAGGAGAGGCTGCTGTATCATGAATGGCTGAAGGCAGGGCATTGTTAGTCATGACGCGAAGCTGAGTGCCTGCAACCCCTTCAGCCGTTACTTATAGCTTGTTTTCACGTAACGTCACGCCACTGCATTGCCATGGCGCGAAATGCAAATGGAGGGCAGGAAGTGATTTTCTATATTTAGGAAGCACTGTAACACACTCAAAATGCCTATGTTTTGCGTCATTTATGGTTGCTCAAATTGATCAAACCACGAGGAGTTTTTATCGTGTGCCAAAAGTTGTTGTTCATAAGGGGGTAAATACAAGAAATTGACAGAAAAACACCGGGAAAAATGCCTTGCAAACCTACGTCTGCGGTCGGGAGGAGCCGAATGGGAAAATGCCTGTGTGTGTGCAGTGATCACTTCGTCAAATGTGAGTTAATACATTATTTATGTGGCTTATAATTACATTATTTATGTGTTTAAATACACTTATGTGGCTGTTTGTGTAACGTACCAGTTTCCGAACTTTGTAAAGTCAAAGTATGTGTGTAAGACGAGTTAGTTGCTGATATCTACAGCCTCGATGGCAGGCAAATCTCTCAATTCAGTTGAAAATCGGTCCTCTTCATAACGTAAGGATCTCGTCCAACATATGTTTCGATTTTCTGTTTATATATTTCTCTTGTAATAGCGTCTAAAGTAGTACAGTACGGATTTTCCTCCATCTCGTCCATTGCGCTCTTCACTCCTTGCCCCCCATCTGCATTCCTCGCGTCAACACAATCACGTGACTGCAAACCACCTATTCACGATACAGCACTTGCTTCAAGTACCTTATTGCTTTTATAAAACGGTTTCCACACAATACAAATATTAAAGTAAAAAATATATATGTATTAGTGCAACTTTTATGAAGTAAAATCACTAAAAGCCTTCCTTCCGCTAGAAAAAAAAATAGTCCCTGACTGTGAACAGCAACAACGTTCCAATGTGTAATACCAGAGACAATTTATAAAAAAGTAATAAAAGGACTTTGGTAATATACTATATTTAATAATACTGCTCACTTTCATTATGACATCATATTGCTCAGAAAATCCACACGGCTTGATTATTGAGAGTGTTTAGTCTTTTTGAGGTTTTTTAAAAAAGGATTGAATGGATTTTTTTCCCATTGTATGGTGATTGTGTCCACACACTGCAGACACATTTATATGCAAATACCATATAAAAGAGAAATTGGCATCCGATCACCCATTTAAAAAGTAAGCGTAAATGTACATTATGTGATATAAAAGAAGCAGTTAGTTAGTTGTGTGTTGTGTGTCAGGGTTCGGCTCTGGAGCAGGCCATCATCAGCCAGAGACCTCAGCTGGAGAAGCTCATCTCCACTACAGCGCATGAGAAGATGCCCTGGTTCCATGGCAAGATCGACCGCGAGGACTCGGAGCTGCGCCTGCGCCGGAGCTCACACGTCAACGGAAAATTCCTGTAAGTCCTATTCACATGACTTATCCAAGAAAAATGAGAAATGATCTTGGATTTCATCACATCTTATAAGAATCACCCAGAATACTAGCTATAGGATATATACGTATAGATCTACTCTATAGTTCAAAATTTTAGTGTGAGCAGGATTTAAATTATAATAATAATCGTTTTATCATGCAAAGATGCATTCACTTGTTCAAAAGTGAGAGTAAAGACTTTTCCATGGCTAATTATGTTTCAAATAAATGCTGCTCTTTTGAACTTTTTATTCATCAAAGAAACCTGAAAAAAAAAAATCTAATTTTCCACACAAATATGAAGCAGCACGACTGTTTTCAACACTGATAATAATCAGTAATGTTTCTTGAGCATCAAATCCTTATATTAGACTGATTTCTGAAGGATCATGTGACACTGAGACTGGAGTAATGCTGAAAATACAGATTAAAGGAATAAATTACATTTCACAATATATATGCATAGAAAATAGTTTTTTTTAATTGGTAATATTTCCCAAAATTGCCGTTTTTACTGTATTTTTCATCAACTAAATGCAGCCTTGGTGGCAGACCTCTTTCATACAATAGACCCCAAACTTTTAAATGTATTGTATAACATAAACCAAGTGCTTAAAAACGTAACTGTTTTTCTTCAATCAACTAACTGCATTTGATTTAATTTTGCTTGGAAAACTGAAGTAAAAGTGGTATGTTGTTATAATGTTGCATGCATTACATGAATCGAAATAATGTAGCGTTTCCATTCATTTAAAGTCAATTATGACTGTTTTCATGTGCTTTAATGTATTATTTCTTTAGTAGCCTATCATGATTAAGATTTTATATAACATTTTGAGTTAACCACAAATCTTACAATTAAAATCTCAAAAGTATTGCAAAGAAATAACTTGGATATACTGTATAAGGTTAGCTTAAACTGACGACTGAATGTGTGGCTGCATGTGTGAAGCCCGGGTTTGGACTGCAGCACCACTGCTCTGAAGTGAAAGAAAGCGAGGCAGAGAAGAGGCAGTGTGTGGTTTCCGCTGTGACACTGTTCGAGAGGACTTCCTGAAGTGACCGAAGAACACGCAGTGTGTGTGTGTGTGTGTGGAGGCGGAAAACAAGAGCAGGGCTGGGTGGGGGTAGAGAGGCAGTGAACATTCTCCACCTGCTTTAAATAGATCACTGGCTACCATCTTAAAACGTGTGTGTGTGTATGTGTGTGTGTGTGTGTGCGCGCGCAGAAACATGGAAAAGAAGAACGTTTATTTACAAAACAAATACGGTTTTATCGTCGTGAGGACTTTGTCATTAGCTTTCAACTTTCTAGTTTTTACTAAAGCTTAAAAAAAGTAATCAATTGTGTTATTGTTTATTTCTATATTTCCACTTTGATTAAAAATTTAGTTTAGCCACATCCACTGCATACTGAATCTGAATAGCGAATCTATGTTTAAAAAAAAAAACATCTACAGCTCCATCTAGTGTTGATGTGTGTATAATCAGAGGTTTTACTGCAAGAGCTGTCTTATCTTCTGCTTGACATATACAGTGTACTTTTCTCTCCTCCTGACAGAATTAGACAGAGAGAAAACGATGGCAGAAACGTGTCCTATGCTCTGTGTCTCCTGCATAATAACCAAGTCATGCACTATCGCATTGATAAGGACAGGGCTGGCAAACTCTCCATTCCTGATGGGAAGAAGTTCGACACACTTTGGCAGGTAATTAAACCTGTCAAGAGACACGTCAAACCTGCTAATGACTTCAGAGCGGTGAGGTCTATATATGTGTAGGAAATAATCATCTCGGGTATTTAGCAATAAGTCATATATTTATGTTTAGGACTTTCTATTGGATAATCTGTCACAAAACCATATTGGGTTGCACTTTATTTCGATGGTCCACTTTAGATATTCTACTAACTACAAGTAACTTGTCAACTACATGTCAACTTATTCTACTAATGCGCCTAACCTGACAGCCTACTAATCCTCTAATGACAGTTAGTTGGCATGTTAGAAGGTGTGAAAAGTTACTGAAAGATAAAAGATGTGAAAGTTCCTTATTTTTACTTGTAACTTTTCAACTACATGTCAACTAACTCTCATTAAAGTATTAGTAGACAGTTAGGTTTAGTATTTTAAGTTGACATGTAGTTGTAAAGTTACTTATAGTCAGTAGAGCATCACAATAAAGTGTTCACAGACATTAATCAGACAGTCTACTAATACTCTGAGAGTTAGTTGACATGTAGTTGAAAAGTTACAAGTAGGGCTGTCAAACGATTAATCGCGATTAATCACATCCAAAATAAAAGTTTGTGTTTACATTAAATATGTGGGTGCACTGTGTATATAAAATATTTATATTTATATGTAATATAAATTATATATAAATCTATATGCAGTATATACATGAAAATATTTCTTAAGTATATACATGCGTGTGTGTGTGTATTTATATTTATAAAATAATTATACACAGTGCACCCAGATATATTATGTAAACACATACTTATATTTTGGATGCGATTAATCGTGATTAATCGTTTGACAGACCTAGTTACAAGTAAACATAAGTGACTTTAAATTTAATGTCTTCTAACATGTCAACTAACTCTCATTAGAGGATTAGACTGTCAGGTGAGGCGCGTTAGTAGAGTAAGTTGACATGTAGTTGTAAAGTTACTTGTAGTCAGTAGAGAGTCTAAAGTAGACCATCAGAATAAAGTGTAACCCAGTCTTGTAGAGGTAGACAATTGTCTTGAAAATGTTGACCAACAGGGCAAATGACGTGTTATATTTGGATTTCCTGGTTGGGCTAAAGGGTTGCGTGGCTGTACATGATGCACTGCATCAAAGCTTTAGCAAAGCTACAGACAAGCCATTAACTAGCCTTGACAAACATCTATCACTTTGTGATTAGAAGAGCGCTGCATGGTTCGAGTGAGGTGGGTGTGCATTAAAAATGTATTTTAATATAGAAATTGCTTGATTTTGGAGATGCGTCACATCCCTGCGTTACTGTGTAGCGTTTCAAATATGCTGATTGAGAGCATGTGAAGAAGCAAAACATGAAAGGAAAGTACACTTGGTGTTAGGTAGATGATTGTTTGACAAATGATGCATAAACTATGTACTGTAACGATATGCTGAAACATTGTGACTGTGATGATGCCCAGAATTTGACATCGATGTGCAATGTATTATAGCTGGTAGAACACTATTCGTACAAGCCTGACGGCCTTCTCCGAGTGCTAACCGAGTCCTGCCCGAGGCCGTCACATCATTCACTGGTGAGTACTTTCACAACTACAACAAACACACGGTCAGAATGTGTTAGAATAGAGTTTACGTGAACATGTATATTAAAATGCATTGACATATTGACAATATGAACCACTCTGAGGACTATTGTACTGGTTTAAATATCCACAAACAATTGTTCTTTGTTTCACACACAAATAATTAAGGAAATTAAACTTTTTATTTGCTCAATCATTTAAAATGATGTAAGTTATTGCTTGTGTGAATAAAAAAAAAGTGGTTCTCAAATGGTCAAGTCACATTTACTGTATGTATACAGCGCTTTTTACAATACAGATTGTTTCAAAAGCAGCTTTACAGAGACAACAGGAAAATAATGCAACCAAGTTTGTTTCTAGAAGAAAAAGTTCAGTGATGGTTCATTTTTGTTGTAAAAAAGTTATTAATTTAGTTGGGTCGTGTCACAAAAATGGTGCCTCAGACAATAGGGAAAGACAATGCAAAATGCACAATGGTTTTGTGCTGCATTTTCTCACAAAAGTTTTGCATTTAAAGGGATACTCCACTTTTTGGGGAAATAGGCTCATTTTACCACTCCCCCAGAGTTAAACAGTTGGGTTTTACCATTTTCGGATGTATTCATTCGATTTTCTGATATTTAAAAGAATATCAGCAACCAGACAGTTTCTGGTCTCATTGACTTCCATAGTATATTTTTTCCTACTATGGAAGTCAATGGGACCAGAAACTGTCTGGTTACTGATATTCTTCTAAATATCAGAAAATGGGCTGAATGGATTAAAAAATGGTAAAACTCAACTGTTCAACTCTGGGGGAGTGGTAAAACGAGCCTATATTTCCAAAAAAAAGTGGAGTATCCCTTTAAGAGAAAACTTTGCATTTGTATGCAAAAGTTTCGTTTTCATCCAAGAAAGATTGAGTTTGTTCTCAAAAAGTTTTGCATTAATCCAGGAAAGAAAAACCTTTGCATTCCTCTGAGAAATTTGCATCCTCTTGCATTAGTTATGCGTTCCTCCAAGAAACTGTGCGTTCGTTTGCAAGCTCACAGGTCAAGTTGGCGGAAGCTGAGTTTGAGATGGGCGATGATACCCTGTTTCTCCCGCTCTCTGCTACCTCTGGATCTAAAAGCCCTAAGAATCCTCCAGCCCAGAATGAGGAATCATGCTGTCTGCATCTAACTCTGAGGCTCGGACGCATTTGAGACTTTCTAAAAGGAAATACAACATTTCTTTGTGGAACGCAAAAGTTTTGCGAGGGAAATATTTCCTCCGATCAGATTTTTTCCCTCATCGTGTGTCCTTATAGTGGCTCCATATAGTCTGACTTGAAATATCTCAAACATCCTCAAAAACATAAGCAATTTACAAAAAAAATATGCGGATTATGCATGATTGAGCACATTAGAGATACACATGATATGTCCTGACAACAATTTGTTTCTGTTCTGCAAATTATTGGCTGCCAAGAGCATGAAACCACTGAAGTTCAAGAGGTATTTAGAAGCCATGGTAAATGAACATTTTTCTTATTCATTCAGCTTACGGCATGCTCATTAATTTGGGTTTAGGCAGTTTATGTAATACTTTTTAAAATTTCATCAAGTCTAATATCTAGGTCCTGAAGCAAAGCCTGCTGAGAACCACTGACCTAGACTGTACCAGTCCATTTAACACATTGGTCACTGGGAATGTGAATGCTACTGAATGAACATTGAATGGACATTTATTTATTGAAGAAACTCATTTTTTGTGCGTTTAGCTTTGTTGTTGTAATGTTTGACACAATACTAATGGGTCATAGATGTAAAGCATTAAATATAAGCATCAATAGTGTAGGATAAAATAACCTTATGCTCTTTAAAATTGTGGTTTCTAGCAAGGTGCCACAGGTGGAATACTCTCCAGAATCAAATCATACTCCTTCCCCAAACCTGGCCAAAAAAAGGTGCATTAACACCCCCCTCTCGTCCTCCTTATCCCCCACTGGCAGTGGTAGGACCCCCGTCTGCTTGCGTGTGGTTTTTGCTTCTAACTTTGCCTGTGGGACGCCCTACACCCTCTCTGATCTCTTCCTCCATTCACTGTACATCACATCCAATCACCAGCAATAACTCACATTCACTCTTTTTATCCGTATAAATACGGATGCATTTATATGGAAGCTTGTTTCCGCCATTGAATGAAAAATATAAAAGATAATTGTGACTATTTATCTCACAATTCTGACTTTTTTTTATCACAATTGCAAGTTTACTTCTCGCAATTCGGACATTATTTCTCAGAATTGCGAGATAGAAAGTCAGATTTGTGAGATATAAAGTCAGAATTGCGAGATATAAAGTCAGAATTGCGAGATAGAAAGTCAGATTTGTGAGATATAAAGTCAGAATTGCGAGATATAAAGTCAGAATTGCGAGATATAAAGTCAGAATTGTGAGATATAAAGTCAGAATTGCGAGATATAAAGTCAGAATTGCGAGATATAAAGTCAGAATTGCGAGATATAAAGTCAGAATTGCGAGATATAAAGTCAGAATTGCGAGATATAAACTATTCTGAGGGGGAAAAAGTTATTCTTTTTTTCCCCTTAGAATTGGCCTAATTACTCGCAATTGCGAGTTTAAATCTCACAATTCTGAGAAAAGATGTCAGAATTTCGACATATAATCTTGCAATTATGTGTTATAAAGTCAGAATTGCGAGATGTAAACTCGCAATTGTGAGAAAAAAGTCAGAATTGTGAGATAAAAAGTCGCACTTCTGTCTTTTTTTCTCAGAATTGCGACTTTATATCACCCAATTCTGACTTTATATCTCGCAATTCTGACTTCATATCTCGCAATTCTGACTTTATATCTCGCAATTCTGACGATATATCTCGCAATTCTGACGTTATATCTCGCAATTCTGACTTTATTTCTCGCAATTCTGACGTTATATCTCGCAATTCTGACTTTATATCTCGCAATTCTGGCGTTATATCTCGCAATTCTGACTTTATATCTCGCAATTCTGACTTTATATCTCGCAATTCTGGCGTTATATCTCGCAATTCTGACTATATCTCGCAATTCTGACGTTATATCTCGCAGTTCTGACGTTATACTGTATCTCGCAATTCTGACTTTATATCTCACAATTCTGACGTTATATCTCGCAATTCTGACTTTATATCTCGCAATTCTGGCGTTATATCTCGCAATTCTGACTTTATATCTCGCAATTCTGACGTTATGTCTCGCAGTTCTGACTTTATATCTCGCAATTCTGACTTTATATCTCGCAATTCTGACTTTATATCTCGCAATTCTGACGTTATATCTCGCAATTCTGACTTTATATCTCGCAATTCTGACTTTATATCTCGCAATTCTGACGATATATCTCGCAATTCTGACGTTATATCTCGCAATTCTGACTTTATATCTCGCAATTCTGACTTTATATCTCGCAATTCTGACTTTATATCTCGCAATTCTGACGTTATATCTCGCAATTCTGACTTTATATCTCGCAATTCTGACTTTATATCTCGCAATTCTGACGTTATATCTCGCAATTCTGACGTTATATCTCGCAATTCTGACGTTATATCTCGCAATTCTGACTTTATAATACGCAATTGTGACTTTATGTCTAGCAATTTTGACTTTTTATCACGCAATTCTGACTTTCTATCGCGCAATTCTGACTTTTTATCTCGCAATTCTGATAAATAAAGTCAAAATTGCGAGATATAAACTCGCAATTGTGAGAAAAAAAGTCAGAATTGTGAGATAAAAAGTCACAATTATTTTTTTTATTTTTTTTATTCAGTGGCGGAAACAAGCTTCCATACATTTACTCTCTGTTCGATTAAAAGAATAGTTGCCTTTTATGCAGTTTTCGTTCTGTCCATTTCACCTCATTTCCCCTTGATTGCCTGTCCACCTTATTTTGAACGCAAGACGATGGACGTGTCCATTTATAACTTGAATAAGCAAGGCTTCCGGTGTCGTTTGCTTCCAGATATTTGTAGCTGTACAGAAACAGTCCGTTATGCTGCTTAATGTTGTAAACTTTTATTTGTTATCATGATATTTTAATTCATATCAAAATATATTGCAGCTAATGAATCGGAAGTGTTGTACATCCAAATTTCCTTGATGCAAAATAAGGTGGATAAATCAGGGCACATTATATTCCCTTTTATTTTTCTGTAGTTAAAAGTGTTTATAATACTTTAATATTAATAATTGTTTATATTATATACAACATTTACACTGGTTTGCTGGTCTTTGCTGATTTTAGTAGGGTTTAGTAGACCAGCTAAACGAGTTTGAGATGTTTTACCTGTCCAGATTTAAAAACTTAAAGGGGTGGTAAAGTATGATTTCACTTTTCTAACTTAAGTTAGTGTGTAATGTTGCTGTTTGAGCATAAACAACATTATCACAGTTATAACGCTAAAAGTTCAATGCAAAGGAAGATATTTGCTTTTAAAGAAAAGGACTACAACAAACGGCTGGTAGGGACTACATGACATTCCTCCAGGGTTAGTGACATCACCAACCCTAAAATGTACATATACCCCACCCTCGGGAACACTCAGTCGATGTTGAAAAGAGGAAAAGTTAGCATCCATCTTTTCACATGCAATAGAAAGTCACTCTGTGTGCATCTCACAACAGTTCCTATATGAGTGATTTTTTTAGATTACATGACAGAATATGCTAATTGGAGATAGTAAACTCCACAGCAGCAACATAAATTCATCAACTAACCATTCAGAGACATCCTGTTGTATTCTACATGTTGTCACTTCTTCTTGAGTCTCTCCATTTTTGATTGACTCCATTTTAACATTACAGGGAGAACAGTTTCTGTCATTGTAGTGTGTCTGCTGGTAACACACAGAGCTCTTGAAACCCTGCCCTCTGCAGCAGCTCATTTGCATTTAAAGGGCCAGGCACAAAACGGTGCATTTTTGATATATAAATGCTATATAAAAATATCTCTGGGGTATTTTGTGCTAAAACTTCACACACACACACTGGGGACATCAGAGATTTATTTTACATCTTGTGAAAATGGCATTTTACCACCCCTTTAAACCATTCTTCAACAATAAAACAAAAATAGAAAATGTATTTACATTCTAAGCTTCATTGGCAAGGATGGTTACAGTATTTAGACTATTTATTACAGAATGGGGGGGGGGGGGGGGGGTTATTTGGCTCTAACATCCATCTGAGAAAACGTTTTAAAATGACGTTATCGTTTGAAAATTTGGGGCAGTACATTTTTTTATTTATTCAAAATTTTTATTATTACTTTTATTCAACAAGGATGCATTAAATTGATTAAAAGTGACAACTAAGACTTCTACATTGTTACTGACCTTTGCATTTTTCATATTAATTACTTTAATATGATTAGCAACCTTGTGTCGGAGCAGATCTGGCACACGTGGATTCCACACGGCCCAGATGTGGTCGCATGATTGATCTCCCTTTTGAGACACCTCCTCCGGCACTGAAATTAGTCAAAGGAGTTGAAATTACTCACAAGTTGCTGTGATTTTTTTGGAAGAGATGACAATCATTTGTGTTAAAAATTGTCTAGATGCTTTTCAAGCTTCTAACAGTTGAATTACCCTAACCATACATCCATATTTCCATTCTCCTTTTCTATCACTCCTTTTTAATGATATAAATCATATAATTATCAATCCTATCTGCAAGAGATCTCTTTTCTTGTGTTGTTTCTTTTTTTAATTTATACACTATTTGTTGGCTTTTTGACCTTTTGGAAGAAGGTTCTCCTCTTCTTCATGGACACTGACCACATCATATGAACTGCCATTCACTTACTGCACCATTGAAACATCTCAGTAAATGTAATTCTGCCTTTAATTCTGATTTAAGGTGCCATGAAGAACACAGGAAAGTTTGGTTTGAACCTGTCCTTCTTTTCCATTGATGCATGCAGGCATTTCAGATAACATGCCTGTGTCCTCTCCGCTTTTTCTGTATGGATTTGTGTATTTTCGTAATTGTAATTGTGTTGTGTGCTTGTAGGGTCAGGTTGAAAATCCTTATAACATTAGAGCAAACGGCAGGGGTGAACTTCCTAATCCTAATATCTTCGGCAAAGGTTTGTTTACTTAGTTTTGCTTCAACATTTACACTTGCAGTCAAAGCTTGCACACCTGACTCTTTTAATCTAAAGGCTTTCCCTTTGGACTGATATGTGCCTATATATGGATTTCTTAATGGATGTAAGTAAAGTAGACGGTGAAGGAAAAGATATGTCAGGCTCACTATTTTAAAAACATCCCATGATGCAGCTGAACTGTAATCATACTTTGATTTGTTTGATTTTCATAGTTTTAATGATCAAGAATGAGCAGGTGTGTTCAAACTTTCGACTGGCAGTGTGAACCCGAGCCTGATGTAGTTCTTGTAATCCTAATCTCTGTGCTCTGTGTTTTCTTAGAGGCTATGCCAATGGACACACAGGTGTATGAAAGTCCCTATGCAGATCCTGAAGAGCTGCGATCCACTACCGTGAACCGGAGCGACCTTACACTGGAAGATGGAGAGCTGGGATCAGGAAACTTTGGCACTGTCCTAAGAGGGGTCTACCAGATGAAAAAGTTAGTCAACCAAATTCATACAGAAAACTCATTCAAATCTTATGTGGATTGTTTTAAATTAGTATTTTAAGGATCAAATCTGATGCCAAAAATTTCAGTCAATCAAACAAACTTTTATCTTAGATCTTATAAGTCCTTCTTCTTGCTTTTAAAAATTGGATCCAAAAGAATTATTTATTGTATTGTAAAAACCTGAATTTTCTTTTACCTCAATCAAAAAACAAACAATACAATACTGTATTAGCAACTACGCAATTAACATGCATCTAACGATGCCGTTTTATGTTTATTATAGGACTTGTATGGTAGTGTTTTATTGACATTTGTCAAACATTCTGGAAAGAGTTTTTATTTTAAAACTTTCTGCAATTTACTTCATTTAAACAGTGTTTTATAGATAAGTTTAGAATTAACATAACCAAAACTATGTTTGCATTCAAGTGATTTTAGTCATAAATGAAACTTGCTGGAAAATTTCTTTTTTTTTCATCTCTTATCAAAGACATGCTTTATCTATAGTTGAGGCCAAAAGTGAAGTCCTAAACTGACATCTTCACCACTTATTCAAATATCATAAACAAATGTGTTGTGCTTGGAGTGAAGTTGCTTTATTGGTGATAATAATAATTTGACAGACTTCAGTTATCAGGCTGCCATACAAAGAACCAACTAAATATTAATAACTGATTATGTTGTAGTCAATGTATGCATTTTCCTGTGAGCTTTTTTTTTGGCTTAGTTATAAAAACTGTTCTTCTCTCATATTTAAAATATTTGTAATTTATATAAAAAAAAAAAAGCCTTTAAATGGTTTAACTTGTAGGGTTTTAATCAAACTTCTAGGGTCATTAAAAGCGAATATCCCCACTAGACGTCACTTTTGGCCACTACTGAATGTCATTTCTTGACACAAAGCATAATGGGAAACACGGTTTGGTTGCACAAGTGTGTTTCGTCATGTATTGCTATTCATCAACAGCACACAAAATGCATAAAAACTAAATTCATACATTCAAATTTTCACCTTGAAGATCAATAAAGGTTAATACCAATTTGTTATTTAACTGAAAGATCATTTTACTGGTGCAAAAATTGTCTTTAAGCCCTGAGTTTGACGACATTTTAGTGAAAAATCAAGAAACTTAAAAGCGGACGATGGTAAATGTGTTGAAATCAACTCTTTTTCCATTTACAATAAACCGAGCCAAGTCTCCAAAACAAAATCCAATAGTATTGTACAAGTATGAGAGAATATATAGCGGTTCAGTTTACAGTGGCTTCATTAATTAAAGGGTTAGTTCACCCAAAAATGAAAATTCTGTCAGTATTTACTCACCCTCATGTTGTTCCAATCCCGTAAGACCTTCGTTCATCTTCGGAACACAAATTAAGATATTTAAGATATTAAGATCGCTCCTGCAAACTAGTCCATAGGCTTCTTGAGGGAATGACTCTTGCTGTCCTCGAAAAGTCATTAAAGACATCGTTAAAATAGTCCGAGTGACTACAGGGGCTCAATCTTAAGTTTATCAAACGACGAGAACACTTTTGTGTGCAAAAAAAACAACAAAAATAACCAATTTATTTCAACTATTCGTTTATTTCTCCCTCTGCGCGAGTCAGGTTACTAGTTTAATAGCGTAAGCTTCTGTTATTGTACAGTACGTCACACGCATCACACACATGACCAGCGTCGGCCAATGGTGAGCCTATGTGTGTCGTAGCTTTACGCAATCACACTACATTAATTGACTAGGCCCATAGAGAAGGAAGTGAATAGTTGAAATAAAGTCACTATTTTTGTTTATTTTTGGGCACAAAAAGTGTTCTCGTCGTTTGATAAAGTTAAAATTGAGCCACTGTAGTCACTTGGACTATTTTAACGATGTCTTTAATGACTTGTCGATGCCAGCAAGAGTCATTCCCTCAAGAAGCCTATGGACTAGTATGCAGGAGCGATCTTAATATCTTAAATATCTTAATTTGTGTTCCGAAGATGAACGAAGGTCTTACGGGGTTGGAACAACATGAGGGTGAGTAAATACTAACAGAATTTTCATTTTTGGGTGAACTAACCCTTTAATGAACAAAATAAAGCCTGATGTCAAGTCCTTGTTCTTAACTCTTTCCCCGACCGCATTTTTGATACTTTGATAATATAAGCACGCAAAAGTCTCATAAATGACGGAACTCTCAATTAATTTAGAAAGAAATAGCTAATTTTGTAGAAGCAAAGTTTTTTAAAACTTTATTACAATTACAAATTTCCTAACATTTTCCCAACCACAAGTATTGAGTTTTCGAACGCTAACTACCATTATTACATTGACATGAAGCTCTGAATCTCTCTTGGCTTACTCAATTGCGACTGATCTTCCTTTCCCTGGATCCATTTAATCATTTACAGACACATTTGCGCTGTAATAGCAATAGCAACAGTATATACAGCACAATTTAAACAACACAAGTTGACCAATGTACTTTACAACACAGAGAAAAGCATCACATAGGCAACACATATAATAAAATTGTCACTGATTAAAAGCCATTGAAAGCAGATGTGTTTTCGTTTGTCCTTTAAAACCCTGCACAGTAGTAGCGTCTCTAATATGTTTAAGCAAACTGTGCCAAAGTTTAGGCGCTGCTACAGATCTCCTGAAATAGCCTGTACATGTAAAACCCACGCAAACGCAATATACTGTGTGTTCATTTTCAAATGTGTATCTTTCCTCCAGAACGCAGAAGGTTGTTGCTGTGAAGATCCTGAAAAACGATGATGATAACGCGGCGGTGAAGGATGAGATGCTGCGGGAAGCTAACGTCATGCAACAGCTAGATAACCCCTACATCGTCCGCATGATCGGCATCTGTGAGGCGGAGAATCTCATGCTGGTCATGGAGCTCGCGGAGCTGGGGCCGCTGCACAAGTTCCTACAGAAGAACAAGTATGTTTCAGGACAGATGAGAGGCTGATGTCTGCTCCGCTGCACTGCATTACGCTGTTACTCATGCATGCGTTTGTTGTTACGATGACCAAAAAGTTTTAAAAGTACAATTTTTAGGCTGGTCTGCCTCAGCGGTCTACAGTAACTCGCCAATGTCAAAATGATAGAGATGATCAATCAGATTAAAGAGAAAGCTTAGTGTTCACAGAGGGCGGGTGCGAGATACAGCATGACACTTGAGTTTTAGCAGGGCAAGAGTGCGTGGGAAAGTGTAAGCTAAACGTTTAATAGATGATTGGTGTAATGCACAACTGAATGTGGTGAAACTAGAGACGTCTTGCATTTGTGACATATTAGATACAAATAAGAGCGAATGTGTGAATATTTTCAAATAAAATAATCAGCTTATTTGCAAAAAGCTATGATTATAGCTACCATTAGACCTAGAACTTATTTTACAGTTCTTGTTTTTTTATGTAAATTAAAAAAACAAAAACTTTGTTTCCCATTTAATGTTCAGGACATGTTTACAGCCTTGCTTCATGTGAATCTTGAGGTTTGCCGTCACTTTGCTGCATTGTTCTGTGTTGTTTGGACTCGATCCTTTTTAGCATTTGATGGTCCCTGTCATACACGTTCAGTTTTCTTCTTGCAAATGAAGTCTTGCCATGTGTACACACAGTAGCCTAATAATCATTAAGACTATTGAAATCCATTGTTGCTTTTTGGACGTCTGACAAGTCCCGTTTCACATTCGGCGTAGCTGGAAAGCACTTACACTGCATGGATGGACTAGAGAATATAAACAACAAAATGATAAAGGATAATCACAATGTTTTGTTTTTTTAACTATAGCCTACAAAAATTATATTAATCTCTATAATAATGAGTGTTATTTTGTCCAACCCCTTTATATTCACAATATTGCATGGTCACAAGATTGTATTTATATTAAACAACTGCTCACAAAACTCTTTTCAACACAACAACGGTTTAGAGTGACCACAGAGAGCATGGCATCATTTTTAAAAATGCACCATAAAAATACCATACAAACTGTGCACGATATTGCAAGTCTACTGAAGTCATGTGACCGCAAAAAACTGTGCCATCCCAGACAGCAACATAGGTCATAAGCAATAGTAGCAGTGTCACTATTTACATAGAAGCCTAAAATTGAATTGATTTCTATGAAGATATTTTTAGTCCAAAACTACTGAATGCCTGTGACACTGAAATTTGTAGTTGTAGAGAATATAGCCACACATGTGTATCAGTAAATTTGAAGTCACAGAGAGAAATGTTTCAAGAGTTGCAAACTTGTGGACTTTTAAAAACCATAGCACGTGAACACACCATTAGTCATTAATGAATGCACAAAACGTACAAACTAATAAAAACGTTATGAACTTTATGAAATTATACTCAATTGTATTTTAAGTTCGCACTTTTAAAATCTACAGTTAAAAGCTTCGCAAGATGCCATTTATAAGACGAGTTGGAGTTTGCTGTACTTTACATAGGCCTACATGATGCGAATGCCAGCAATGAACACACTATGAACTTAACGAAACGATAAACAATTGTAGTTGTAACAAGTTCGCGTAAACTATATTTACCTTTTTTGAAATAATCCATTAAACCTGCTGAGAAACTGTGAACTAGTGTGAACTAGAATGCCGTTCCAAGCGATGACGCACAACCGGCACATCCGGGAACTATATTTGTTTGACTCTACATAAACTTTAATGGGCTCTATGCACGGCGGTATTTCCGGTGAAGCATTAGGGATGCTCGATAACTTCCGCCGATCGTAGAGTCCAATGCAATACCGAGAATTTATATTGAATTTTATACTCCATGGTTATACTAAAGAAACGTTAGTCACAAAAACAGATAAAACAGACACCCCTTGTTGTGTTTATGCTTCTTTTTAAAATTATATTAAATAAATATAACTATATATAAAATTACATCTAAACGTATGTACGTTTCATTTCAAAGACTGGAGGACAGTAAATTTTGAAGACTCTGCCATAATCCCGTTTTGCTCGGTTTTCCTCCGCTTTAATCTCCACAACCGGAAATGGACGAGCATCCTTGCATCAAATGCGGAATTTATGCGTGCATATAGCTCATACAAAATAACGGCAAAAACCAATGTCCGTACACAGCCGATAGGTGTAAATAACTTATGAAATCATTTATATAAAACATGTCAAGTAATTATATGTCCACCCTGCCTGCCATAGAGCATCAAAAAAAAGATAAATTTTTTTATGCCCGTTATCAACTTGCCCAGGCTAATGTTACCTGCCATCATCATCATAAATTCATAATATATACATTAAGGTTTTTTACTTTAAAAAACGAAATAAAATCATTCAGGGGCTTACCTGGTGTATCGATTAGGTACAAGTAAATGTCCAGGTAAGACACTTTTAAGTGATTTCTTAAGTTATTTACACCTGTCGGCTGTGTACGGATGTTGGTTTTTGCTGTTATTTTGTCTATGGGGAGTCTACTTTGTTTTCCCCCAAAAGTGGGCGTGAAACTATTCAGAGACATTCTATGGCGCAGCGCCGGTTGTGCGTTTGCCTGGGAAACTCATGAATATTAATGTGGGCTCCGCCTACTGCCTCTTCAGATGCACAACTGACTTTTGCACCACATTTCACGGTGCACTTCATGCAAAAGGTAGAGCGCGTGAAACTTGTCACTTGAAAGCGAAAAACAGTGTTTGAGATTCGTCGCAGCAGATTCAAGCAGCTGTAGTTATGTACTTTGTGCTAGAAAAATATACAAGACATTTGTGAGAAAATATTCTACCAGTGTGCAGCTCTCATTGGATGAATTCACATACTGATTTGCTGATGAGCTAAATTTCTCTGTGTTCATCATCACATGTTTTGATGCAGGTGTGTAAATACGTTTTGCACCATATTCACTGAAGAAACTGTAGCAAACATGTAAGCGTACGAGTTTCTTAATTTGTGATTTGTAGAATAGGATTTGTGCACCTGCAATGAAGGATTTGTGAAGGTGTAACTGTTGTGTTGTGTTTGTGGAAGATAAAAAAGTTTGCAACTCTTAAATCATTTCCCTTCAAATTTACTGATGCACATGTGTGGCTATTCTCAACAACTACAAATTCCACTGTCACAGTCACAGGCATTCAGTAGTTTCACACCAAAAATATCTTCATAGATTTGCCTTCTGTTTTCAGACACATCTCTATAAAGAACATCACAGAGCTGGTTCATCAGGTCTCTATGGGAATGAAATACCTGGAAGAGCACAACTTTGTTCACAGAGATCTCGCGGCCAGGAACGTGCTTCTAGTCACTCAGCATTACGCCAAGATCAGCGACTTCGGACTCTCTAAAGCCCTGACAGAAGATCAGAACTATTACAAGGTATACTAATCACAGTGCCCTTCATAAGTATGACTGAATGTGACAGAATGTCACCTTTTATTTATGAATGTTACATGTCACGTACATGTTTTGCCAACTAAGATCGGCATCGCTTTTAACGCCCCCTAACAAAAGCCGTAGTGTTGATGTTCTTGCAGCAGAATGAGTGTTTAAGCACACTGACCACTGTGTTCCCTGCTCCTCTAGGCCAAAGGTCATGGTAAATGGCCGCTGAAATGGTACGCTCCCGAGTGCATGAACTTCCTGAGGTTCTCTTCGAAGAGCGACGTGTGGAGCTTCGGGGTCCTGATGTGGGAGGCGTATTCTTACGGACAGAAACCGTACAAGGTGCGAAGTTCCATAAGCAGTTTCTTCCATCCACCCACCCAAGTATCCATCCATCCCTTCATCTATCCACCAATCCATCCACTCATCCATGTATCCGTCCACCCATCCATCCATCAACCCATCCATCATCCATCCGTCCATCCACCCATCCATCCATCCATGCATGCATGCAACCATCTATCCACCCATGTATCTATCCATCCACAAATATATTCAGTCATCCACCCATCCACCCAAGTATCCATCCATCCCTTCATCCATCCACCAATCCATCCACTCATCCATATATCCATCCACCCATCCATCCATCAACCCATCCATGCATCCATCCATCCATCCATCATCCATCCATCCATCCACCCACCCATCCATCCATGCATGCATCCATCTATCCACCCATGTATCTATCCATCCACAAATATATTCAGTCATCCTCCCACACACCCAAGTATCCATCCCTTCATCCATCCACCAATCCATCCATGTATCCATCCACCCACCCATCCATCAACCCATCCATGCATCCACCCACCCATCCATCCATCCATCCATCGACCCATCCATCCATCCATGCATGCATGCATCCATCTATCCACCCATGTATCTATCCATTCACAAATATATTCAGTCATCCACCCACACACCCAAGTATCCATCCCTTCATCCATCCACCAATCCATCCATGTATCCATCCACCCACCCATCCATCAACCCATCCATGCATCCACCCACCCATCCATCCATCCATCCATCCATCCATCCATCAACCCATCCATCCATCCATGCATGCATGCATCCATCTATCCACCCATGTATCTATCCATTCACAAATATATTCAGTCATCCACCCACACACCCAAGTATCCATCCCTTCATCCATCCACCAATCCATCCATGTATCCATCCACCCACCCATCCATCAACCCATCCATGCATCCACCCACCCATCCATCCATCCATCCATCCATCCATCAACCCATCCATCCATCCATGCATGCATGCATCCATCTATCCACCCATGTATCTATCCATCCACAAATATATTCAGTCATCCTCCCACACACCCAAGTATCCATCCCTTCATCCATCCACCAATCCATCCATGTATCCATCCACCCACCCATCCATCAACCCACCCATGCATCCATCCACCCATCCATCCATCCATCGACCCATCCATCCATCCATGCATGCATGCATCCATCTATCCACCCATGTATCTATCCATTCACAAATATATTCAGTCATCCACCCACCCACCCAAGTATCCATCCATCCCTTCATCCATCCACCAATCCATCCATGTATCCATCCACCCATCCATCCATCAACCCATCCATGCATCCATCCACCCATCCATCCATGCATGCATCCATCTATCCACCCATGTTTCTATCAATCCACAAATATATTCAGTCATCCTCCCACACATCCTCCCACACACCCACCCATCCATGTATCCATCCACCCATCCATCAACCCATCCATGCATCTATCCATCCATCCATCCATCTATCCACTCATCCATTCATCCTCTATCCATCTGCCCATCCGTCCATCAACCCACCCATGCATCCATCCACCCAGCCATGTATCCATCCATCCAATTCATGAATTCATACACACACCCACCTATCCACTCATCCATTTATCCCTCCACCAATCCATGCCTCCATCTACTCACCCACCCACCCATGTATCCATCCATCCATCCATCCATCCACCCACGCATCCATCCATCCATCCATCCACCCACCCACGCATCCATCACCCACCCAATCCACAATGCTCACTTTTTTATATGATCAATATATCACAACGCCTGACTATCACAATGCTTTTAATGGCTGAAAATAAATAAATTCTTCCTGGTGTTCATTTAGTGACAAAAACAGTGATTATTTTATTTGATCTCTTTTAGTTTTTGCATGGTATATCTGCATTTATTACTTTGAATCAACGTGAAAACAGTGGCTTTTTGGTTTGAAAATAAAAAAAATCTGAGCAGATGTACGAGCCCCACACATGATATGCAGACGAATATATATGTTCTGGCAAACGATTTAATAATGTGTTCTCTCGTTTTACAAATTATTTCAACATGGCCATGATTTACTAAGACAAAGGAACTAATTATTATATTGTGTGCACAATTTACCTAAAACAAGGGGACAAATTAGTAAAATGTGTTGACGTAATTGTTAATTCGTGGCACACGTTATGTTCGGGGCTCTGTACAAATGACCCTATTAAGTCCATCAAAATTTAGGTTGTTTTATAGAAATCTAAATAATCTTCCATAAACCTAACTTCTTTTATAAAGCTTTTTACAATAAGGTTCAATTCATTAACATTAGCTAATGCTTTAGGTATCATGAAATAACAATAAAAAGCATTTACTGTATATATCTATGTTAATGTACATTTAAAAACATATTATTATTCTTTGTTAATTAATGAGCGTTGAAACTTGAAAAAGTGTTATTATGTATAAATTAACATTAAAATTGATTAATAAATTCTGCAAAAGAACTGAACTTTGTCAGTTCATAATAATACGCTGATACGTTTACTGTACTCTTGCACTGTATAGTATGTGGGTTAGTGTCTGTATAATTATAGATATATATAGTACTGTATTATTAGTGTCCCATAAATATCGAGCTATATTGAATGTTGTCTAAATCTCAAGCTGCACATTAATCCATTTAACCATCAGACATGAGCTGGTGTTTGAAAGTAATTGCGTTGTTTATTCCATATTGTCTGAAGGGTATGAAAGGAAATGAAGTCATCCAGATGATTGAGAATGGACAGAGAATGTCGGCGCCGCTCGACTGCCCAGAAGAGATGTACAACCTCATGATGAAATGCTGGACATACAAGTAAGTGAACACTCACTAGATTAAATTATATAGGGCAGATTCATATCATCATTCATATCATCAGAATCATTCATCATGATTGAAGTAAATGTGCTTTTTATCTGCGTTTATTTTATCTATAATTCTGTTTTATAATGCATTTCATCCACAATAATCACTTTTATCACTAATTTTACAAATGAATTACTTGTAGTGCACAATACTGAATCTGATTATTAGATCATAATACCATTATTTGAAATGTTATAAAACCACAGTAATACAAGATTAATATTGTATTAAATTAATTATATTAGAGAGTGTGTTCAGGTTTTAGAGTCATAGAATAGCTATTTAAAATTTCATAATGATCAAGATTCAGCTACTGTACCAAAACACTGGAGTTTTAACTATTAGTTAACTATAACTATTTTACTATTTTAACTATTGGATAACTGTTGATATGCTTTTAATTAGCATATGCTTTATTTCCTTTTTTATAAAATCCTGCAGATGCAAAATTAAAGCAGTAAAACTACAAATGAAAGGAATAATGTACATTCTAATGGTTATTACCACAAATGGATGGATGCATGGGTGGATGGATGGGTGGCTGAATGGATGGGTGAATGGATAACATGGGTGGGTGGATGGATAGGTGGATACATGGGTGGGTGATGGATGCGTGGGTGAGTGGATGGATGGATGCATGTGTGGGCGGGTGGGCTGGTGGATGGATACATGGGTGGGTGGGTGGGTGGATGAATGGATGCATTGATGGATGGATGGATGGATGGATACATGGGTGGGTGGATGCGCGGATGGATACATGGGTGAGTGGATGGATGGATCCATGGGCGAGTGGGTGGGTGGATGGATGGGTGGATAAGTGGGTGGGTAGATGCGTGGATGGATACATGGGTGAGAGGATGGATGGATGCATGGGCGGGTGGGTGGGTGGATGGATGGATGGATGGATACGTGGGTGGGTGGATGCGTGGATGGATGCATGGATGGGTGGAGGGTTACATGGATGAGTGGATAAGTGGGTGGATGGATGAATTCATGAATGTATAGATGAATTGGTGGATGGATGAATGGAAGAATGGATGGATGGATACATGGCTGGGTGAATGGATGCATGGATGAATGCATAGATGGGTGGATGGACGGATGGATGGATGGATGGATAGATGCATGGATGGGTTGATGGATGGGTGGAAGGATACATGGGTGGATGGATGAATGAATGGATTTGTGGATGGATGGATGGATTGATGGATACATGGGTGGGCAGATGGATGGATAGACGGATAGATAGATGGATACATGGGTGGATAGATGGATGGAAGCATGCATGCATGGATGGGTTGATGGATTGGTGGATGGATGGGTTGATGGATTGGTGGATGGATGGATGCATGGGTGGGCAGATGGATGGATAGACAGATAGATGGATGGATACATGGGTGGGTGGATAGATGGATGGATGGATGCATTCATGCATGGATGGATGAGTGGATGGATGGATGGGTGGGTGGATGGATGCATGGATGGGTGGATGGATGGGTGGATGGATACATGGATGAGTGGATGGATTGGTGGATGGATGAAGGGATGAATGGATGGATACATGGGTGGGTTGATGGATGGATGGATGATAGATGCATGCATGCATGGACAGATGGATGGATGGATGGATGGATGAGTGGGTGGATGGGTGGATGGATGAATGGGTAGGTGGACAAATAGATGATGGATAGACAGATTCATGCATGGGTGGATGGATGGATGGGTGCATGGATGGGTGGGTGGGTGGATGGATGGATGGGAAATGTTTATTTGGCAATCCATTGATCAATAATAATGTTTCATTTCTCTGTTTCTGTAGGTCAGACGAGAGACCTGGATTCTCTGTAGTTGAGCCCAGATTGCGGCATTACTATTATGACATATCTCAGTGATGACATCACCCAGATTATTCAGTACAGTATTGGAGAACAGTCAGTTGGTATTGGGTGGTATAAGCATAATTTGTATTGACTTGGACATATTTTTTAATTGATAGTTTTCATGATTTCATTTGTTTTGTTTTTTTCACTTCATCATTAGCATAAATTCTAATTAGATCATTGGCAGCATTTCATCTTTAATAATGTAAAGCAATAACTTCCAAGATCTTCTTTTAGCAACTGTACAAATTTGCCTTAATAAGCTTAAAATACTTATTAAATAGTTGGTTTTACTTCTAAATGCATGTTTATAAAGAACGCCAGTGTTCAGTGTTTAAAGCCGAGTCAGTATTTTTTTATTAATATGCTTCAGATGTCAGAGCAATAACATGGCATCAACATGAGGATAACCAGTCAAGAGCTACACATTATTCTCTTTCTTTGCAGTCCCTTTCTTTTTTGAACACATTTAAGGCTCTGGTTTACTCTGGGGAAGTTTGTTCTTCCATTTAACTTGAAGTTCTGTATATTGGTACATTTTCTGTCTTTATATCTAATTGCCAAATTTTACATTCTTTACCATTGAGTTTACATTTAAAATGTGTTAAAGTGTTAAAACAAGCTGTCAATCATTCTATCTCTGAACAGAGCAAAGTCATATTGTGCATATCATCTGCTGTATGGACTGATCTAAATAGAGTCATTCTACACATCAGTGACTGTGGGACAGGTTAGGCGATTAAAATGGGAGCTTTTGAAATCTTTTAAGATTGTTTTCTCCATGTTTCTTTTGTCCTATTTGACGTTGCACACGCTTGATAACTGAACATCATGGCATGACACGTTAATCTTGCTCTTCCTGCTTGATTGTATTGATAAATGATGCTGAGCAAATAGAACATGTACGGCCGCAATACGATTGTCCAATAATGCTTTAAAAAAATAAATGAGCATTTGAAAAATAAAAACTGTGACAATTTTCTTGGATGCGCACAGTAACATGAACAGAAATACAGAAATAAAAATGTCTTGCAATGTTGCTGCAATATTATTATTTATGGAATAAAATAGTCATCGTGTTTGATTAGGAGTGTTTTAAGAGCTGTAGTTGTTGCTTTGTTCTGAACAGGAATGAAATGGATTTAACACTGCACACAGAAAAAGAACATGTGTCACCTTACTAAATATGGACTAAAAATAGACAGCCATCTTCCTTTAGAGACCACATTGTAGCCTACAGGTCTCTGTACTTCATGCTGCCAGCCGATTGGCTCATTTCTTAAAATCTTAATATACACGCTGGATTATGTGTCTAAGTGTCTTATATATTCATAGGATTTGAAATGAGATTTGAATAGGATTTGAAACCACATATGAATGTAGCTCGAAACGGATTAGTAAAAATAGCATTTCATATGATTCTTTTGCCATTCACACTTGCTAAATCTGATCGGATTTCAATCCGATATGCACAAAAATCAAATTTGGACTGACAGTCTGAACGTATATAGCCTAAGAAATTAAACATGCATTTAATTTTAAAAACCTCTATTTTTGAATAAACTTTGTTTGAAGTCTTGGAAGGAACAGTAGAGGATGTGGTGATGTTCTTCAGGAAGACTGCTCCCGATATTCTTCATATTCAAATCTGTTTTGTGTAGCCTGTACTGTATATGTCCAAAATATTCACTAATTACAAACTATGTGTAGGCTAAAAGACTGTTTCCCTCATCTTTGTTAGCAACTACATCACCTATTGTCATAAGTGGATCTTCCTCTTACTCTAACATTGTCAACATTACCAGAAAATGTCATCTTCCAGAACACAAATGAACCCCTATTAACGGTAATGCAGGTCTTTTACATGAATTCAATCACATAAAACAACCCGCCTGAACTATATACATTCACGTACAGTAACAGAGTTATTAGGAACGTCGATTTTCGGATCCTATTTTTTTTTCGAGGCACATTACCAATTCAAAACCACATTAATCTTAATAAGAACTACGTACTTAATCATTTAGAACGAAGTGATATGTAAGTGCATTGAGGCGAATGAAAAACGCCTTGTATTCATGTGTGCAGATTAGAATTATTAGGCACGGTTTCGTTTACAGATAAAATAAGCCAAAAAAGAGATTTAACTCTTAAAATGATTAAATGCCCATGAGAAGGATCCAATACAAATGCAACAGTTGACAGTAAAATGCTCATTGGATCAACATGGGTCAGACAAATACAGGTGAAGAAGAAAATACAAATATAAACATCAGATGAATGAAGAATTAAGGTGAAGCATAAATGAAAATTAAGTCATAATTACTCACCCGTATGCTGTACCAACCCCGTAAGACCTTCGTTCGTCTTCAGAACACAAATTAAGATATTTTTGATTAAATCTGAGAGGTGGATTGCTACATAGGCAGCCGAAGGGATCAAAACTTGACGGCCCAGAAAGTCATTGAAGAAAATTTTTAAATATTCCATGTGACAGTGGCTCATGTATGTCCATTACGGCAAAGTTCTTTGATAACACTAAAATACAAACTGAAGGACGTGTGAGGACGAATATAGCTCTCCGGGAAGCGGGCTTTTTTCCCGATCCAAATACAAGGGTTTTTATTGGCCCGCCCAAGATCAGTTATTTCCATTGGATACCCAAATGCTGGTCAAAGATTTGAATAATTGTTGAATTCAAATTGTACAAGTACTTTGTAATTAATGGGATTTTTAAAGTAGTGAAGTACATTACTTAACTTAATTTGTACTCAAGTACAAGGAAAATTACAGACTAAAAAATGCACTCATAAAAGTACAAGTACACGAAAAAACTACTAAATTACAGTAATCTGAGTAGTTGTAATTCGTTACTTCCACCTCTGAATATATACATATATTTAGTCCAGTGCAGAGGTCATTTTTAGGTTGAAATAATTAGGTGATTATTTTAACTCACAACAGTTAACGTTATAGCAGTTTAAGAGAAGTTGCTACTGAACCAGAATTTTTTCCCCCACATAACTTGAGAAAGGGAAGTTCAAGGATTTAATTAATTATTACTCTCCACATTAAGTGTGACAAGAATAAAGTAATATCAGTTCATAAAGTTATAATACCATTTCCAAGAGATACACATAACACATACAAAAATAAGTTATCAATGAAATAATGAATTCAGCAAATAATAGTAATCTCTTTTGTAATAATAGTATAGTAGAACAAATAGTAAACTATTTTTTGCAGTATTATCTTATATTAATGACCGTTAAAGCAAGACTAAAAAAACAACAAAAAGCACTAACGTTAAAGTTATAGGATAACAGACACAGCAATGCATCATGTTCTATAAGATCATCATGATCCAGGCGATTAAAACATACAAAATATATTTCAGGCCAAGTGGAGTTGGTAACTAATAGGCTAATAGTAGTAAAGGTGTAAAGTTGCACAAAACGGAAATACTCACTAATGCAAAAAAAAAAAAAGTCCAGTAACTCCAGTTGGAATTTTCACCCCGAAATGGCGGTCGCGCTACCGAAGCGCTACCTGGTGGCTGTTACCAAAAAAGCATCAGAGTTTCGCCTCTTGTTCTTCTATACTCTTTGACGTTAGTCACTTAAACATAACAGTACGTTTTAATAGCCTAGCCCAGGGCTATTCAATTAGCTTCATTCGAGGGCCGCATTATTAAATCAAAAAGTTGAGTTGGGCCGGTGGGTTTAGCTTATTTATTGACACATCACATATCAATAAGTAGGCCTAAGCTAAAGTAAAAAAAAAAAAAAAAAAAAGGTTTTGCATTTACTAGGAAATGTGGTTCCCAATGCAGACCATAATAAATAACTTTTTTACAGCTATATACAAATATATTAAATTATTCAATATCATTGGTAAGAATTATTTTATTAATAATTATTATAGGCTTAAATTAAAATATCCTGACAGTGAGACTTGTAAAATCTGTACAAAACTGTATAAAAAATGCCTAAACAGGTAAACAATTATGCACAGAATGAATTATAGCCTATATTCCTCTACCCCTCTAATAAATCTAATGCAAAATAAATGACTATAACATATTCTATATAAATATTCCACATTTCTGCCAAAATCATATGGTAAATTATTACATTAATGGTAATGTGTAAGGGTGGTGATTATGGCATTTATAGTATTCTAACTTTGTTCATGTTCTATTTACCTCATCAGTAGTGTTGGGAATGTTAAGGCTGTTTTATCCGATTTAAAACTAGTTAAAATCCTTGAGAGATTTGTGGTTTGTAACAGAGAGGAGTGTCCGATTGAAACGCTTCTCAATGGATGTCGCAATGCTGTTTAGACCGGAGTAAACTAAATCTCATGAGAACTTCAATTTTTGTGATATTAACTTCAAATTTGGAACACAACTTGGTTAGATATATGGCTTTGATTTTATAGGAAAAAATATTTTGTAAAATATATATTTTATATAAAAGAAAAAATATTTAGTACAGTATATTTGATTTAATATAAATTTAAAACTTCAATAACTTTTTCATACTTTTATTTTTTGAAGTGTTTTTACTTCAGCAATAATCTGCTGAGTGTTTTCTTTAAAACAAGACCACAGGTCTTTATTCCAAAGCCTGAATTACAACCAAGTTTTAATAGTGCATTGTAATGGAGCATGTTTTTGAAAAAATATTAAAAATATACGTTTTTTCATACTACCAAGTAACATCATTTTGTAAAGTTAAGGCTCTTACAGTGTAATATGTAAAAAAAAATGCTTAGCTTGCAAAATTTCACCAAAAACATTTCACATGGCTGGGGTGATTTATTTGTTAGAAGAAGTATTGTGACAAGTGCTGTTGAATTTGACAATGTGACATCTAGTGGATTTTATGGGTATAATATACCTCAACCAGATGATAGAGATGGATCAATCAGTTTGAGTAAAGTTAGGTACTCCTCTCAGTAAAATATAGTGACTCAAAATGTGTTTGGTTGAGAAGTCAGTTAAAGGGTTAACACAATTTTGAATAGTTGTTCTCTAATTAATCCTGCCAAACCCAATTACTCTGACCTTAAATGTAAAATATTGTTATTAAATAATACTAGAAATCTATTTTATTTTATTATGAAGTGAAATGATAAGGTTAGATGTTTAAACATTATAGAAAACAATACTTTTCCCTGCTGTGAGCAATGACAAGAGTTCAGCCTCAGTCTCACGCGCATTCGAATTCGAAAAGGGCATCTGGGAGAGTGGAATCTTTGACGTCACAGAGAGTTTGACCGTTTTGTGCGCAGTTTCAACTAAACAGTGTCGTCCGTGTGAAACCACAAAACGTCTGTCTTCTCGTTGTTTATTCTGCAGTTTATTTGATAAAGTTACCGAAGAGGACAACTGTTATCATGTCTCTGAAGAGAAAGTCCCCCGCTGAGGTGTGCGACGCCCATAGGAGCACACCCTCAACATCCAGCACCGACGCGGCTGAAAAGCATCAACCATTGGAGGAAAATGAGGCGCCGTTGAGAAAGAGGACGAGGACGGATAGTTTTGAGAAGCTGCCGTCTCTTCATCATCGTGACTCCGGCAGCTCAGACCAGAGAAATGAGAGAAGTGCTGAGGGTAAATTAAATGACCATTACAAATCCATCCACACCACCACGCATTACGTCAAAATTGAACTTGTGTTTTTATTTATTTCTCCCAGTCTTAAATATTTGAACAAGTTTTGTTAAAAAAAAATAAATAAATAAATAACGTTACAATTGTACAATGTACAGTTGGGTATGCAGTGTGTAATTATTATTCATTTCACACGGACTGTTTACATATTGAGCTAACGCTTTTTCTCCAAAGCATCATTTATTTGAAACATGCTTTTGTTTGATATTCCCTGCTTTAGGTCAAGATTCTCTACCGGACGGCGCCTGTGCTCTAACGTTAGAGGATCACGGTCATATGGAACATCTATCCAGTGGACTTGAAGTCGTTCCTCCTGTAGATCCACAGGGTCAAACCCCTCCTGCACCAGTCCACCACAGTCCAGTTCAAACCCCTCCAGGACCAGTCCACCACAGTCCAGTTCAAACCCCTCCAGCACCAGTCCACCACAGTCCAGTTCAAACCCCTCCAGCACCAGTCCACCACAGTCCAGTTCAAACCCCTCCAGGACCAGTCCACCACAGTCCAGTTCAAACCCCTCCAGGACCAGTCCACCACAGTCCAGCTCCAGGACACAGTGTGGACGTGACAACTGAGGGTGAGTTTACTGCCATATCTCAAATATTACTCTCACTGCTGTCCATGCTTTACATTTCATGTAAACTATAACCATTAATCTTTTAACAGACGACATTCTGAGCCGGTTTGAAATCGGTAAAATGCTTGGTTTTGGAGGATTCGGCTCGGTTTATGAAGGGAAACGCTTGGAGGATGGCCTTGAGGTATAGTCATTTTCTTACTTTTAGCAATTTAGCAAATTCTTTTGTCTCACTATATCCATTTCAAGTCCTTTTATTGTATATTATGTTCACTATGTGGTGCAGTTGTAATTGTAATGGGCTAAATGTTTTGTTTTGTTGATCAGGTGGCGGTGAAATTTGTCAGAAAAAAAGAGGGCATGAAATACATCAACATTGTAAGTTAGAACTTGAAAACATCACATTTTTCCAAAACTGGACATACATTTTATTCTAAAATCCTGCAACTAACAATGATCTTTCTTCCAGCCCCATCATGCTACACCCGTCCCATTAGAGATCGGCCTGTTAACCATTGTTAATACGGGCCCCAAAGTTAAAGAGATCATTGATCTGCTGGACTGGCAGGACCAGCCTGACCGATATATCATGGTCTTGGAGCGTCCCCCACACTACATAGATGGGTTTGATTTTTGGGCTCATCAGGAATACATCTTCAACGAGGAAACGGCACGGACTATCATGAAGCAGGTGACAATGGCTGCTCAAATGTGCTGTGCCAGAGGAGTTTTCCACAGCGACATCAAGTTGGAGAACCTGCTGATCAACCCAGAAACACTTGAGATCAAACTGATCGACTTCGGGTGCGGGAGACTCATGCAAGTGATCTCCTATGAAGTCTTCAGTGGTATGTATTATGAATCAAGCAAGGTTTGAAAAGAGTTTAATTTTTTAGGGCTGTCAAACGATTAATCGCGATTAATCGCAACCAAAATAAAAGTTTGTGTTTACATAATAGATGTGGGTGCACTGTGTATAATTATTTTATATATTAATACACACACATGCTAGTATATATTTAAGAAATATTTTCATGTTTATAGTGTATATAGATTTATATATAATTTATATTATGTATAAATATAAATATTTTATATATAAATAATATTTTTTTCTTATATTATATATATTATTTATATATATACAAAATAATTATACACAGTGCACCCACATATACAGTATTATGTAAACACAAACTTTTATTTTGGATGCGATTAATTGTGATTAATCGTTTGACAGCCCCAATTTTTTTTAATATGTTCTCACTAAATATATCGCCTCACGCCTGGTTTGGCCTTGGATTGATCTCACTTTTAACACTCATAACTGTGAATAAAAACAACTAAATGATTAATTTACTGTAATGGATACATAGAATGTAATGATACATAGTAATTAATGATACATAGTAATGGCTTGTTGCAGAGTGATGTTGCATGGGCGCTTTCTCATTGAGAATGGCCAACACATTTCTATCTGGAGACTTTAGATCGGTCGTGGGACCTGTATCTCAACATTTCCCAGAAACATTGCTCAAAAAGTTGCCCGTGTATCATCACCCAGAGAAAACATGCTATGGGATTTCAAGCTTAACCAACAGACAAATCTCTTTCTAGGCACACACGAGTACTGTCCACCTGAGTTCAGCAGAACGGGCATGTACCACGCTAAACAAGCTACTGTGTGGTCTCTGGGAATGATCTTATTCGGAATGCTGTGTGGACACCTTCCAGTATCCGAAGAGATGGAGAAGATTAATGATGAGACCTGGTCTGATCCTCGCTTGTCAAACGGTAAAGTGGTATTCATCACAAAAAAGATAATCAGTTTTAATTTTAAATCACCAAAATAGAACAAATGAAACAAAGAAGTAACAGTAGTAAAAGAAAAGAAGTAAAAGAAATAAAAGTTTTTTTTCCCGTACAGTATAGCGTAGTCTAATCTCACAGTTTAATAGAAAGACAGCAGGTGTAAAGTTTATGGTCTCTTCACAGAATGCTGCGACCTGATTCGACGCCTCCTGCAGAGAGACCCAAGACACCGGATGGGTTTGGAGGAAATGATTTCCCATAAATGGTTTTAGGTACTGACCCTAATAAGCTACAAATTAATTTGGATTTATAGGTGAAACTCGGAAATTAGAATATCGTGCATTTATTTATGTAATTCAACTAATATATGATAGAGACTTACATGCAAAGTGGGACATTTCAAGCCTTTATTTGTTATAATTGTGATGATTATGGCTTACAGATATGAAAACCTTTTAATTTGGGGTTTTCATAGGCTGTAAGCCATAATCATTAAAATTATAACAAATAAAGGCTTGAAATATCACACTTTGCATGTAATGAGTCTATCATATATTACCGGTAGTTGAATTATGTAAATAAATGAACTTTTGCATGATATTGTAATTTTTGGAAGACACTTTTTTGTCTATTTGTTTGATATGTTCTTAGTAGGGCTGTCAAACGATTAATCGCATCCAAAATAAAAGTTTGTGTTTACATAATATATGTGGGTGCACTGTGTATAATTATTTTATATATTTAATAGACACACACGCTTGTATATATTTAAGAAATATCTTCATGTTATGTTTTCCATATATAGATTTATGTTTAATTTATATTTAAATATTTTATATATAAATAATATTTTTTTCTTAAATATACATGCATGTGTGTGTATTTATAAATAATTATACACAGTGCATCCACATATATTATGTAAACACAAACTTTTATTTTGGATGCGATTAATCGCGATTAATCGTTTGACAGCCCTAATATTAGTTTATTGTGAAACAGGAAAGGTCAAGGTCAAATCTCTTTAATGTTTTATGTATATCATCAACCTTTTAGAGAAGGAGAGTGCGACAGTCAGAAGAAGAGTAGGTCAGAGCAGCAGCTGAGGTCAAGGTGAGAGACACGCTTGAGGGTAAATCCACTGAATAGTTGAGAATGTGTTCATGTTTTCTGTTTATTAGAGCTCTGTACATCATAAAGTCTACATCATTTTCAGAAAGATTAATGGAAACCTGGTGTCATTCATTACAATATGTAAAAAATCCACACCGTCACACATTTGATCAAAAAATCAGTTGAAGTTCGATTAAGGTCATGATCAGATTTTAATTCCAGGGCATTTATCTTTAAACACAGATGAAACCAAGCGGACATCCTTTATCATTGGCCAGCGAGATATCATTTATGCGAGATATCATTTATCATCTCGCAGTGCTCAGCGTTACGATCCTCAACATCCAGCACCGATGTGGCTGAAACCCATCAGGATTTTTGGGTTGGTGAGAAAAATGAGAGTCTGAAAAGGAAGAGGACGGATCACCTTCATCACCTTCTGTGACCGGAGTGGCAGCTCAGAGCGAGACACATGAGGGACATGCTGAGGGTAAATCAAATTATTTTCTGGTTACTAGAGCTCTGTACATCTGCATAATGTTCAGTTTCAATTAATGGTATGCATTTTTAACCATAGTCAATGCAGATCCCCTCATGATTGCTAATGGGCCTGTAAATGAGAGTGGAATCCCATATATACCTGGAAAACTGGCATGCGACCCGCCAATTAAAAGTAAGTGAAAACGTGTATTTCTGTTACTTTGAATAATGGCGAAAGGTTATTCTCCAATAATTTTTTTCCCCAAAACTTTGAAAACTTTAATGGCGTGGAGAAGATCCAAACTATTGGCACTGCTCAACTGTGTTAAGCTCTTCTAAACTAATATTTTTGTAAAGGTTGTGGTGCTGACATGCTTGATTTGTCTCAGGGTGTAGTCAATATTGGTACACTGATAGTTTCCCGTTGTTTTTCAGAAGGATCATGACCGGCAGTACATGCACATTGGAACAATGGTGGAGTTTGCGTCTGCTTTGCTGGGGACTCTGGATGACATCAACAACCAATGCTTTAGTGACTTAGCACTTTCACACCCAACAACATATTGTTAAAGGGATACTCCACTTACCACTCCCCCAGAGTTAAACAGTTGGGTTTTACCTTTTTTGAATCCATTCAGCCGTTTTTATTATATTTAGAAGAATGTCAGTAACCAGTATATTTTTCCTACTATGGAAGTCAATGAGACCAGAAACTGTCTGGTTACAGTTACTGATAATTTTCTAAATATCAGAAAATCGGCTGAATCGAAAACGGTAAAATGAGCCTATTTCCAAAAAAAGTGGAGTATCCCTTTAAAGCTTGATTAAAGACACATCTCTTAGCCCTAGCATATAATACATTATAGCATAGGCTTCTATAATTCAATGTTAGGCTGCATAGATTAGGACACTTTACTGTTACATCATAAGAAGAATGGCATCTACGCTAATTTGAGTTTCTTTGTTTATCCCGAGGTTTTCCCGCAGCCTGCCGGATCCAGGCCGTATCCAGATCTGACGAGGACCTTCGTCTGGACCCGAGGACGACGACAACGCAGTGCTGAAGTGCCAACTAGCCTCTCCCAATGGAGGATCCCTTTCCCACTCTACAGATAACGCATTTCCTACCCTGAAGTGATGAAATAAAACAAAACTCTGTATCAAATTTAGAGTTAGTAGTTTGTTCAGACTTCATGTTTTGTAGGGAAACCTGCGCACATATATTCAAACACACATAACTATAGAATCAATTCTTAATGCGCATGTGAACGCCATCAGCGTTTATCACAGGTTCGCTTTTAAAGTCTGTTTAGAGACATTCACATACATTTTTACCTGACAGTTACTGTAAATCCGGCCTCTGTGCCTGGATTTGGAACCCAGGCTCTAACGTTAGTTCGTAAACGCCAGAGGAGAACTGCCCCGACTGAGCCTGGGTTCAACCAAGGTTTTTTTTTCTCAATTGGGTCACATGATGGAGTTATGTGAACCATTGGACCATAGACGATCTGGACCAACGAGATTCGTTGAGATTAATGAATCTATTCATTTATTAATTTATCTGAGGTGCCGGAACGCAGGCCCGGACCGTTTCGGCCCACTTAAACCCCTGTATACTGTATATATATATATATATATATATATATACGGACGCGTATCGCAGCAACGTTCTTAAGTGGCCAATAGGGCGTCTATGTATTTATTATGTCTATGGTTCCTCATGTCAATATGGAACACATTTCTTTCTGTTGTATCTATAATAACTGTAGCCCATTTCCAAAATCATAATTGGGTAAATCATAATTTCTGAATATATATATATAGTATAATAATGCTGAGATATAATTTATTTTCACATTAAATAAAATAAAGTTTTCTCATTGTGTGGAAAGCATTTTCTGTGATTGACTCGATTTGAGCAAAAACAAAGATAACTGATGGATCCGTTATGGTAATGATATAGTACAACAACAGTGCAATGTAGTAGTAGTCAATTAAAAAAAAAGTATACAGCAAATTAAATAGTAATGGATAGTATAATTATATAATATCATAAGTAGCCTACATACAGTGAAGAGAATGTATATATAAAATAATTTATTTAAAAATATTCCTACATAGGCTATAAAAAAAAAATTTCACAGCCCTGTCTCTTTTTGTCTTTTGTGAGACCAAAGATCGCCCGTTAGAAATACACGAGACGAATTATATCTCATGTTTAACCACTAGAGACATCTGAGCCAGCGGCAAACCTCAGAAGCACTAGCCGATCCAGATAGCACAAGCCTATTTGATGTGATTTTTACATCTGGAAGATGTAAAATTGCATTCTAAATCATTACATCTTAAAGACATCTTCTTATATATATATATATAAGATATACAGTATAAGCAATATTCCGTGTGAATAAAATTGAATAAAATGTTTTTTGACCCTATATAATCGTATATCTCTAATCAAACTACAAAAATGGCCGGATGGGGTGGAGTTGAACCGAGTGCGAACTCAGCGATCTGGAGAGCGGGCGGAGTACAACACTTCTCCTTTTTTTTTTAAAGGGGCCGCTCCAAAACGAGTTGCTCACAGACGCACATCAGAAAAGGGGTAGAAAAGGGGCCTGTGGCGCTATAATAAGGAGGAATTCAGACCCAAGCATTGCAGTTTCACTTTATATAGACCACAAATGCATGATTTATAAGTAAAAAGGAATGATTTAAAAGTTTGATATGTACCCTTTAAAGTCCCTGTCAGACACCCGCTGGTCTGCACATGCCTCAGCAGCTAAACTACTGTGCTACAACTATTCAAATATTCAGCGGTCTCTCATTGACTTGTCTGAGGACGAAAATCTGAATTTATCCACGCGTAACGAAGCTAGAGTGCTATCAAAGCAAATGGACAAATTGGAAACCGCTCTTCTTTGCAAATACTGGAACTGCGTACTTCAACGATTTGATGCAACTAGTATAGTCCTACAAACATTGACCTTGATCCCTCCAAAGCTGTGGAAAGGAATGTCACCTACTACTACTCCCGTTCAAACTCGTTCATCAAAATAAACAAATCTTTTTTCGAGTCAATTCATTCGTTCATTCGTTGAATGAACCACATGACTCGGAAAAAGATTTGTTCATTTTGATTTTTTCTAAAACTTAAACTTTGTTATATATTTATTAAATGAGCGATCGTTTCGCTTGATAAGACCCTTATTCATCGTCTGAAATCGTTTAAAGCCCTTTGAACAGTTTGCACTGAAACTGTCTTTTGGACCTTGAACTGTTTGGTTCCCAATGAAATCCATTATATGGAGAAAAATCCTGGAATATTTTCATCAAAAACCTTTATTTCTTTTCGACTGAAGAAAGAATGACATGGATATCTTGGATGACATGGGGGTGAGTAAATAATCAGCAAAAGTTTTTTCAAAAGTGAACTACTCCTTTAAGAACTAAATCTGATAGCAAAGCTTAAACACTCATTTTTTCCCACCAAGCACAATAAAAATAAGTATAACTACAATAGGCTAACTATAATCTATATAAACATATAAACCAATGCATGATAATGTTATGTTTATTATAAGCGCGCTGCGTTTTTTGCATCTGCCGCTTTAAATGATCGAGCTCTTCAAAGCAGGATGGATTCTGATTGGCTGACTGTCAATGTTAATTTCTTTTTAATCAGCTGGAAAGAATCGTTCTGAAAGTGAATATTGTTTCTCGGTGTCGATATCGTTGTATGAGTAATAAATACTGTGTATTTATATATGAGTCAGTATGAGTGTATGTAGTTCTCATAATCATGTGACCTACCAGCATCGCTGTCGTTCATAAATCCTCAGGTTAATCATATGCCATACTGAAATTAAAACAGATGAAAATGATGCTGTGAGGCCGGGATGGATGTACAGGCTTACAATTACATGCATAAAGGTCCTAAGTAAGCCTCAATTCCATTCCTCTCAAAATGTATTTATTTATTTATGTATATTCTATAGTAGTAGAAGCATAATCATCTGGGATTAAATGTGCTATACACAGGATGAGATAGGGGAATACAGACATGAATCGTGACTATTATTTGTCACGAATGTGTGGCTTGGGTCATGTTATCCAAAACATAAATGTCATGGTTTAGCTAGCAATCATTTGCTTTGGCATTCAGCTCTTTCTGGTATCAAGGTTATAAATACGGGCAAAAGTATTTTTGTTTTTATATTATTTTATAATATATAATATATTAACTAATTAGCACTAGCACTTAGCAGTTTCACACGGTAAAGAGCAGTTTCAGTGATCTCAGAGCGGTTGGTCATCAGAGTGAGATCGCTTTGTTCACAGGATTGTCTTGTGTCTTGAATTGCTGCTAGGTGGCGCTGTTCTTCCACTTTACAACGCCACTGTGTCCCTGTAGCAAAGCAATGCTGCACAAACACACCTCGAGCGAAGCTGGCTGAATCTGTGAATGGAAACACAGTCTGCAACCATTAACATGAGCACAGGTAACTTATAGACATTTGTATACTGAATTACAATAATGATAATAATTTCTTGTGCTCAACCGGAATAGACCTTCCATAATTACAGTGACAATCCACTTATTATATTTATTTAATTAGTGTTAGTAAGAGTGTGAGTAATAAATATATAAGGGCATCGTAACTTAATATACATTTGGATATTCTGTTTTAAACACAGTACAAAGAGTTCATAAGTGATTAAATTAATAATACAAATGTACTGAAGGTGATTAGGTGGAGAGTTTGGTTGTAAAGTTGGTGAAAATATTTTTTAAAAACTGTTAACTTTTTTTTTTTAAACCGTGATTTCCTATTACTTTTCCAGTTGTTCATGATTATGATTTTTAACAATTATTTTAGATTTCAATTAGTGCAAACAAAGTATTTAAGAACTGAGCATAACTAAACCTTATTCTATAATATTATATAATAGTTTAAAATACAATAGAAAACATTCTTTTATAAGAAGCCTTTTCCAGGAATGGAAATCACAATCATGAATTGTCCAGATTCTCCATGACCACTGGGACCCTGAACTGGGGCTCTGATGCGCACATGCAAAAACAACTACTCAATAATGTAATTATATAACGTACGAAGTTGGGTGCATGAAAGATCTGGGCCATTCTCTGAGATATTTAGGTTAATCAGAAGATTGAGGGCAAATTTCAAATGGCATTTTAAAAGGCACTGCAGAAATTGGATGATTCCAAACAAATGTGAGGAACTGGATGCACAAGATGCAGAATTTTATTTTCCTTAAGATTATTAACATTATTGACAGTATAAACTTGAATTTGAGTTCTTTTCTATTTTACAGGATCTTAATTGTGTTTTGGATGTCTCTTAAAACATCACCTCATTTCTCAAAGACCCTGAAAGGGATCAATCAAAGATTCAGTCTCTGAAAACCACCCTTTCCAGGAGTCTACTCTGCTCTGATTGGTCAAAGAACCCAGTCTGTTGTGATTGGTCTACTCTGCTCTGATTGGTCAGATGACCCAGTCTGTTGTGATTTGTCTACTCTGCTCTGATTGGTCAGATGGCCCAGTCTGTTGTGATTGGTCTACTCTCCTCTGATTGGTCAGATGATCCAGTCTTTTGTGATTG